TATTTTTAATTAACAGATTATTTTGCCAGTGCAAATTATTACTTTTTTTTTTACCAGAATATTTATTATTGTATTGTTCCCTAAGTATGTTAACGGACCCAAAACATCAGCAACCACACCATCAAACCACTTCCCTCCTCTGTAATTTTAGAAAAACAATCCCTGACCAAAGGTTTATATCTGATTGGCTAGGAGAATCCCCTGGTTGGAACGACAGAGATACATCTTACATAGAGACCTGCCATTTTAATAACAGCTCTGCTGGTGTTTTCTTTGTGAGTGTTATGTTCTTTTAACTAAACAAGAATTCAACATTACAATGCTGCAATGACAAGCCACCAACTGCTCTATTCTTTGCCAGATTTACATATTTTGGACCAATCTTTCAGCCAATCCCTTTGAGGCTGGATGATAAGCTGGAGTTTAAACGTGTTTAACTGCAATCAATTTAATGAATGACTCAAATTCACCTGAAGCAAATCGAGGTCCGATGTCTGTCACTCTCTAGGCAATCCGTATGATGCAAATGGGTTTCTCAAAACCTCAACACTTGTCTGCATATGAATTACCTCAGGCCAACACATGCATCCATAACAACCTGAAACATCTGCTGACTATCCTCTGCAAATTCAAGGTGCTTTGGCAGGCATGCTGCGCTACTAAATGGAAAATGGAATGTACTTCCTCACCACTTTTCTAGTCTTCCGATCACTCAAAGCTCTTTAACACTACATGTCGTCATTCACCCATTCACACACTGATGGCAGGGACTACCATGCAAGGTGCCACCTCCCCATCAGGACTCTAACATACCCATTCACACACCGCAGGAACAGCCTGCGGGAGCAATTTGGGGTCGACTAGCGGAGCCAGGGTTCGAGCCGCCAATCTTATGATTGAAGGACGACTCTACCACTGAGCCACAGTCGCCCCCTGCTTACATATACATATTGTACAGATTCATCTCCCTTTCAAACCACAACAAAAATTCATGGAGAGGGCCTTCATTTCCCCTTTGCCACAGATGCTTTCATGCAACTCTGACAACAACCTACGTTGTAGCTTTTTGAGGATGACAATCCTGAAACCCCATAGAACACAATTATCTTCTATTGTAAGTTAAACACTTTGTTTCACATAATAAAGAACCATCGCTAGTACACACTTTGGCAATGCTGACAAAACACACTGTTGCACTTTTGCCAGTTCTATTTATTGCATGTTCTATATGTCTTGCAGTAATAGGCAGACTGTCTGTTGGAGGTGTTCCCAGGCCAGATGAGATGTATAATCTCTCCAACGTGTTCTGGGTCTTGCCCTGGGCCTCTTGCCAGTTGGACTTGCTCGGTAAACCTCAAAAGGGCCGTGCCAAATGTATGCAGAGAATATGGATACACCTCTTGCTTTTGGACTGGATAGCTCATAACAATGACCCTAGTACCCTGCATAAACACCCATAGGGCTCCCCAGCAGACACAGGCGTAAGCCTTTATGCGTGTCCACAAAACACACATTGACTGGATGGGGAAAACTCTCATAACCCCTCCAACAGCTCTTCAAGGGTAAAGAGCTGGTCCAAGGTTCCACAGCCAGGGCGGAATCCCCATTACTCCTCCTCCCACCTCCAGAAGAGAACATTTTCAGGAGGTGGGAGTTGAAGACCTTGAGGACAGGGGCCCTCAGCCAGACGTTCCAAATTCACTCTCACTATAGGTTTGGGTTTACCAGGTCTGTCCAAAAGCCTCCCACTTAATCAGATCCAACTCACCTGCAGGTGATGATCAGTTCACAGCTCTGCTTCTCTCTTCACATTAGTGTCCAGGACATACGACAACAGATGTGATGATACAAATTTGTATTGTATATATTGATTGAGGTACATGTATATTTTGTATGCATTAGGAATAATTCCACTGATGATTGAGTATTTGGTTGTATTCATGATGAATCTATCATGTCATGACTGTTTTCATGTTTTTCAGGAGAGTGGGCTTTGGGGAAGACCTTTATCAACTTCCCAATGTATGGAAAGTGTGTAGCTGCCTTCGTTGGTCATGGACACCAGGAGCTTACTGAAATAATTTGGGTGTTGAGACCAAGTCTTATTCTTAGTTGTCAGAAAAGGAGTACAAATATTCTAGTATATTACTGGTTTTACAAACATTCACACCTGTGAGTTGTCTGCTACTGTCTACTGATGAGCAGCTCCACTGGAGCATGTTTCTCATTCATACTTTCAGAGCAAACTGTTCATGAGTTGTGTTAGACGAGTTGGAATGTTTTGCGAAATTGTGAATGCCCTCTACACGGAATGCCCTGGTTATTAGGTGTTAACAGGCACCATAGCACCGTACTGCTGCTCAGCAAAACAACGAATACAAAATTGAGAAAAACAAAAATGTAACCTGGAGGCATAGGGCTCTGTGTATCTTGTAAGATGGCGCCTGCCGCACTGACGTGCAGATACGACATACACACACACACACACACTCACATTAGCGGGGCTTGTAGCGGCTTTCTGGGTGACCAAGTGGTTGGGTATGTGACCTACTTTTGTGACCTACTTTCCGGGTGACAGATGAAGGTGATGTGATGTTTTCACAGGCTTACACATAGTTTCACACAGGATTTAACATCTGTTGATGTTTGCATTCTGCATTAACCCTGGAAGCTTGTCAACCATTAGCCCTTGACCTAACAGGATGACCGCATACCTGCACACACATTTTTACTTATTAACTTTTTATGTTTACTTTAAGCTTCGGTTAAGGTCTCATACAGCCTTACGTAAGGCATTGGACCGCGTTTGCATTCTTGCCCCTTAACGGGCAAGGCTCCCTTAAGGACATAGGCGCAATTTATGCAGAAGGGTACATATATGTGAGAATACCCTGGTATTAATCTTATGCTGGGCAAAAAGGTGTATTATGTTTTATATCATGTATTGTTTGTATTATCCTGTATCCCTGTAACCTGTTGGAACATACGCTGATGTATATGTATCTGAATATTATTATCAACCAGTGAGCAAGGTGTGTCATACGTCCTGAGTACCAGTAGAGGTCATTGTGTTAGAGAACAATATGTTCATCAATGTATGACTAAATTTAAGGGGGGTTACCATGCCATGTCATGACCCACAGAGGCACCAAGAAAGGGGGGGGGGGTTGGAACTTCCCCCGGTGTTGTTAGAGTATAAATATTCTCGGTTTGAAAGGATCGAGACAGTAGTTGGGGAGAAGTCCACCAGGTCTGTACCTGCGTAGGGGTTCAACTTTAAATTCTTACAAATCTCCGGACATTTGAAAACAGCTTGCTCACTGATTACAGGGTTTTTTAAATTCCTTTTTGATTTTTCTTATATATCTTTTTGTTAATCGATTTTTCTCTGTATTTGGACCAAAAGAATATACTTTGAATTGGACAGAAATAAATAAGTAACAATTTAACTTTCTTCGGCCAACTCTTTTTCTGTGTCTCTTTTGGGAACTCAGAGAGAAGAGGGGGGGGATCTCCCAGCCACTGTGGTAAGTTGAAGGACCTCCAGCATGGCACACGACTGATGCAAAGTTATGCACACACACTTACACATACTAGCATCCGTTTCTATAGTTAAGAGAGACCCGGGGAAGTCCCGCTTCAAGCCGGTCCCAAAAAAAGGCCGTGAGTTGGAAAGAGCTTTATAACTGTTGGGCTCTGAGCAGGGAAATAAAAATGTTAAGACTTTATAAAACCGACGGCTATTCGAGCGACAGATTATACTATTTAGTATATCAATGTTTGGCGATTCGGAGAAGAAAGCAAACAAGCTATCGATTGTGCTTTTGTTGGTGATTTATTACTATCTGGTGCAATTGGCTACCGGTATAAGTTTCTCTTAAGCGGAGGCTATCAAGGCAAATTAGGGGGAAGTGTGCGGGAGCCACTCTCCCTCAGGCCAGGTGATTGAGTCATATAGAGAGAGAACTGAGACTCTGCCCGTCGCCGGCGAGGTCCTCTCAGTTCGCGCACACACTACTGAGGGATCCTCGTTTCACTTTTGTTCATTTCAAACAAAAGGCCTCCTATTTTATTAATTAACTTTTATTTTTAGAAAGCGTGCGGCGGCACCACGCGCTACAGTTGATTCAGGGAGTTGAACCAGAACTGAACCTCTCTTTACCTCCCATAGATTGAGGTACAGTGGTCTCCCCCTTTTCCTAAGAAAGGGGAAAATGACAGGTTCAATCTTGTTGTGTATGTGGTGCAGTCAAGAGCAACCAAACAAACAGCCAGTTATTACCATTTTACTGCAGATACCTCTGTCTGGGTGCTCGTGTTTGATCACTGTTATCATTTCAGTTCAAAGACTGGAAAATATACTTTCAGTTTAAAATTGTACCTACATTTTTGTTTCCATGTAGCTTTCAACTCCTTTTTTCATGTTCAGTTGAATTTTATAGTTTGTATTGCAGCATTACAAGTAATTTCAGGGATTGCTGCTGAGTGGAGGTGATCAGTGATCTACTTATATATTTTATTTGTCTTTGATCTGCCCATCTTTGTATTTCACAGACAGTTACTGATGCTGCCCTCAAGATGGTGCCAATACTTCATACATCAGTGATATGCCTGAAGACAAATAGTGAGACCAGCTACCATTGTGCCTGTGTTTATCTAACCAGTATATTGCACATATGTACATCTGAAGAGACAGGGTTTCTTAGGGTATAATTACATAAAGTTGTGTAGAGTGATCACAGTTAATATAAAAAAAACAAAACTTAATTGTCTGGTTAGTTGATATACTTATTTTTGCATCCATAAGCCACACTAGAGACCCCAAATCAATGAAAAAAAGGCTAAAAAGTAATTGACATGTAAATAAATGTGATAGATGTGAATATCAATGATGACCATTGTGCAGTTAGTGAAACAGCTTTATCTAATTTGTCCAGTACAGTTGCCACCATCGTTACGTCTTTTATGTTAAAAACCTTCTGAAATGAAACTGGAAAAAATTCATTTGTAAAACAGTAATTTCAGTCCAATTTATTTGTGTATTTTGACTATTAAAACGTTTAACAATGATAAATATGGAAATTTAACTAGATTAAATAATCAGAAAAAAACATTTCTTTGCCATGTTAATTCTACAACAGCTGCAATGCAAAATAGAAAGGCCAGCATAAACAGGTCCTAGTTTTCTATTTGTCTAATCACGTTCTCTCATTTCAATACATAACATTCAAAGGCAAAGACACAGAATCCAGGAACTCCCACAGGAGTGTCCATTTTATCAAACCCAACTGCTCAATCTCCATGGAAAATTAAACCTTCAATTTTACATTTATCTTTATACTTCAAAAGTAATTTTATCCAATGGGAGCAATAGTGTGGTAGGGTTGGTAGCACAGCCTGCCAGCTGTAGCTCATTAAAAATGCTATCATGATGGAATATGAGGCTGATGTCTGAAGCTGATCCAAACTCTGAACTTCCCATTTTGTGGCTCATGTTACTTAAACAAAATGTATTTGAAAAAAAAAAAAAAAAATCACAATCAATCCATCTTCATTTTGCACAAGCACAGAGGAAATCAAGAAATAATACTGAAATCAAACTACAAAAATTACTGTTCTAGAAAAACAGAACTGATCATGTGAAACAAGTTATTTCCCAGAGGCTAAAAACGTGTTACTTACATACAGTAAATTATACACTGTACAATTGGAAACAATCACCCTTAAAACACATTCACTATATGAACCGCTTGTTTTAAGTAAGCTGATCTATGACTATCACTCCAAGGTTGTTGTTAAAGATAACTTTACCGTTGGACTCCACACTACAGTCTGGGTGCCGGAGTAACTCTAAAACACCGGCTTTCAGTTCAGATGAGGCTGTCTTACTGAAGTCCAGCACCTCAGTGAGAAAATCTAGCAGAAGCTCTCCCTTCTCATCCCCCTCGGTGAAACACTCGGTGATATCCATTTGAGATGGCAGCTCGTAGCTCCGGTAGCTCACCCCCTTGCAGTCCAGGAGGCTTTTGATGTCTCCAGTGGTCACACACTGACTTATCTCAGTGTTACAGAGTTGATTCCTGTAGGTCCGCCACAGTTTTTCCCAACCACTCTCACCTAGAAAAGATGACATGAAAACAAGACTAAAAGTCTACAGCCATGCTAGCTTAGCTACTCCATGAGCCTGTACTTTGGCACAGCTGTGCTTTGAGGTAAACGCTGACGTCAGCATGCTAAGATAAAATGACAATGCCTACAAACGGGTCTAAGAAGCAAAAGGGTTCTCCGGTCATCTTTCAGCAATATGTAGCTGAATGAGGTGCAATCATTGTTATTTTTTTCCCTACACTTCAGCAGCACACATTTGCCCACATGCTAAAAATGTCCCCGTGGTCTGGTTAATGATGGGCAGAGAGGCATATTGGCTTCATACTTTTAACACAATTGAGCCATTTGGCCTGAATAAAGTGCTATATTTGTCATGTTTCGTCAATTGATTGCACACTGTGCAGTGCCTGTTGAAAACATCCCTGTTCAGAACAGGCTGAATACAACGCCTGTGGTGTTACTGCATGCAGCTTTCTCGAGAACAGCTCAACGCTGCGTTTCCTTGGGTCCAATTCTAACTCATTGTTCCTTGAACTAACTTACAAATGTTCCCCAAAGAACTTAAAAAATAAACTGTATACTACGTACTTACTGTGCAGTGCGGTATTATTAGTTTCACTATTAATAGTTAATAGTTTTACTTCAGAAAAAAAGGTTTGGGGAGCCTTTTTCTACCACTTGCAATACCAACATTCCCAGTTAGAGAAAGGGTGAAAAGTAAATCAAGTCGACGTTTGCCTGGGGCTCTCTAACTACAAACTCCGCCCCTTAAAAATCAAACCCAAGTGGCGGTTACTCACAGTCAGAAACATCTGTGAAATACACTTAGCGGTCATAATTTTCAAATAGGTATATTAGTCACTTGCTTACAACCACTGCGGTTAAAAGTAGAGCATGGATTTATCACCATTGATGAAACCGTGGTGACGCCAACTCTGACTGCGAGGAATCTGGGTGTGACCCTGGATGACCAACTGTCGTTCGCAGCAAACATTGCATCGGTTACACACTGATTCCTGCTCTACAACATCAGGAGGATTCGCCCCTTCCTCACTGACGAGACGGCGCAGGTGCTCATCCAGGCTCTTGTCATCTCCCGCCTGGACTACTGCAACTCTCCACTTGCCGGAGCCCCGGCGTCAGCCATCAGACCTCTGGAGCTTGTCCAGAAAGCTGCAGCTCGTCTGGAGTTCAATCGCCCCAAGTTCTCCCACATAACTTCCCTTCTCCGTTCTCTACACTGGCTCCCTGTAAGAGCTCTAAGAGCTTTAAGACTGGTGCTAGCCGACAGTGAAAGGAACAGCTCCTTCCTATCTCCAGACCATGGTCAAGCCCTACACCCCTGCCCGACCACCTCACTCTGCTGCCTCGGGGCGACCAGTTGCCCAGTTGGATCATCAAAATCATTAACATCGGTGCAATCCAATCCATCTTCTGAATGTTGAGATATTATACTGGTTTAGTAAAAACTTTGTCCTGTTGGGAGGCGCCAGAGGAAAAGCCATAGCATCACAAAAGTCAGTAGGATTGATCTTCTGTGAACCTTGTATCATGCATGTAGTGTTTTTTTTACATCAACGGGTGTTCATCCCTATACGTACGAGATGTATCAGCAGTAGGCATACTGGCTCTATACAGCAAAACTAAGCCCTAGACTCAGAGAGAAGGGAAAGATCAAATGTCTTGATAGTTTGAGATAAAATCCACCCACTTACCAGACACTAGCATGAGAAGAAGCTTCCCATTCTTGTCCAGGAGACTCCTGAAGAAGCTCATGGTAGCTCCAGGATCCTTCACATAGTACAGCATCTGTCGATTTCACAACAGATAATGAGCTGGTAACTGGATTCATAGAGCACCCAATTAAACCGCTACGCTAGACGGATGTTCTAATTGGATTAATTGCTGTGGAGCGCTGCCAAATGAATATGACCTAGATGTGTCAAAAATACAGTTTGTGGGCCAGAAGCACTACGTTGGGTTGGCAACACAAACCTGTATCATGTGAATGAAGTCAGCCTTCTTAGTCATCTTTTTCACTTTCCAGTGCTCCTCAAACTCAATGGCAGTCATCTGGTTCCAGGTAAATTTGATGTAATCTAAACCTGGTTTCTGTGACACCAAAACTGCATCAACAGACACAAAACAGAGTTAAGGAATGTAATGGAAACATCATCACACAATAATGTTACAACATCAAAAATCAATCTGTATTGTTACTACATGTTGCTTTGTGTAAATGATACATTTATATTTCATAGAACAGGAAAATATAACATAACTAATTCAACAGTACTCTGCATTATTACTTAAAATTCCCCTGTATTACACAGTAATGTGAACACCGAAACATGATATTTTAGTGCCTACACTGACATTTGTTTTTTTAGGCCATAATGTTTGCTTGTCACATAGATGGAAATAATGAATCTGTAAATAATTTGGATTCATATATATATATATATATATACAGTATATATTATTCAGTTGTAGGAGTGATCCTTAGAATTAAAAGCAGACTTTCTACATATTGTCTTCTCTCCAGCATCAACCAAAATGCAAGCAGGAGAACACAGTTTCCCATGACGTCTGTCATTGGAAAGAAAACCTCTCATCTCCCAAACAAGACTGGAGGTTCAGTGCAGATTATCAGCCAAAGAGTCTCCACTGGCGGTGCAGTTTATGTCTTCCAACACTCCAGCCATGGACCGGAAACCAGCTAATGGTCAGCCAAGAAGGATGCCTGACGTTCCAAACGCCATTCTTTTATTGCTTAAATTTAAAGTTACTGTTGTATGTGTTTAGCTACATTTATGTGATTACAGCTGTGTTTAATGTTTAAATTCCATTTAGAAATTGCGTGTCCTTACGAATTAACCAACTTCTGCACAGTAAGTAAATCAAATACATTTGTTTCCAAGTAAAATAATTAATCCCAATTATTTAGTTTTATTAACTGATTTGTTAAATTGTCTAATTATTCTTATTAGTTGATTTGAATGAATTCAAACACCTTTCAACTTACCCATGGTATACATGGCCTGGTATCATTTTGCCTCTCTGATTGCAAAGTTTAAAAATCTGACCTTTGTTATGTTCCAAAGTTACTTTGGCAAATGGATATAACATTCTCTAAAGACTCTAAAGTAATTGTTCTAGTGTAATCTTAGAACTGCCTGGCCAGATAATGGGTACAACTATCAGAGTAACCATGGGCCGCCTCCAGTTATCATAGAAACTCCTGTTGTAAGAAAATCTATTCTATTAGTCAGCTACCCTCTGAATGTGTCAATCAGATACTTGGCATACCATCACAGTATCTGGTCAATATTCATCATAATATTGAATAATTTCCTCTAATATTAATAGTTTTATTCTCTTTTGTTGTTGGTTATCGTGCCGTTTGCTTTACTTGCAGTGAGTAGTTGGTAATACATGTGCATGAACAACATGGATATATTTAGTCCTGTGGTTGCTTGGTTGCATTTCGGTCACTAAACATTAACTTCTATGCTATCCTGCTCTTCATTGAAACTAGTATTATTCTAATATTTTATTATGATTATTATTTTCCCCATTAATACATCATAAATCTACTTCTCATACTGAGGAGCCTTTTTCCCACTTTGGCACCTTGCAGACTCTCAATAGAATAATTATATTCACAGATCAATTAACTTCATAAAAGCTGTCTCATAATTTTCATATTTCTCCAACAGCTATAATTGAGCTAAAACAAACCCAACTGTGATGTCTCACAAACTTACTTTCAGCCCAGGCACAACACTGTATTACAATACATTCACAAGTTTGCCAGAGTTCTTTTTTTGAAATAATGAGAGGCGAGGTATGAGGTGGATACGAGTGTTAATTCGTCTATGCTAATCACATACCAGCAGTTCATTTGTGTGGCGAACTTCTTCTTTTCCAACCTGCCTTCATATACTCATTAACTTACTGTGTACTGAAGTGCTAAAGGTTAGATCATCCCTTGGTTTGTGGTGATATAGTTAATCGGAAACAATACCTTATAGGGTTTTTCAGGCCAATGACAATTTTTGACAGTTCTGGTAAACCATGTCTGGCAATTATTATTTCTTTTACACGCACACAAAAAAACACAAAAATAACATAATCAAACCTTTTTTATTAAGGATCCCTTTATCGTGTTTAAAACGTATTGAGCTAAACATTTAAAAGAAAAAAAAAAGATCTTGTCACCGTCTTCTTTGGATACAACTGCAATATTTTCATGTATAAATAAATTACAGTGTCCAGATGTGGGAAGACTTTAGAGGCATATCCACACAGACACAAGGCTAACATTTCATCTTATATTATATTGTTCATTTAGACTGCCTTGAGGATCTGTTCTCAGTGTTTTGTAAATGTTCTGTTTGATTTGCATATTTCACCAGGATTGTCTTCTGAGACTTGTTCAATACAGAAAGGAAGCTAAATGGTTCACACGAGAAAAAAAAGAGTAAAAATGAGATATATAATGATGTAATCTAATGATACTTCATAATAATGGCAGAAGATGATTAAGTCTACCTCATCCAAGTGTATATATACTGTATATTGGAGCTGAAGGGGATTCAGTGTGTGCTTCTTGTGGATACTTTCTGACATGAGGGCTTGAACGAGGCTGGTGGTTAAAGGACCATCCCCCTACTACTGTAATACATGAATAACTGTACTACAAATATATTAGCGTGAAAGCCAAGGACGGCTTTAAATAATATTCTCTGCATTGAACAATGCAATAAAAAGTAAGTATTTCCTTTCCCTGACGTTAAATGAAATTTTTGGGGCATGTGAATATACAGATACAGTATAAATGTGTGTGTGTGTGTGTGTGTGTGTGTGTGTGTGTGTGTGTGTGTGTGTGTGTGTGTGTGTGAGAGCTGCGTCTGTGCACATAAAAACTGTACCTCTGTAGTTATTTAGCTGAGTGCTGCTGGGCTCCACCACCTCGTTATCCACTGTCACCCCTGGGTGCTTCAGACGGAGCTCGGAGAGCATCTCGAGGTCAATCTCACCTACAGGCACCAACACAGTTTCTATTTTGAAAACCCACCTATTTCTTGCAAATACAATTTTGACCTACTCTCTCCAAAGTACCCAAACTGTTGAACAATAAAAACTCAAAAAGGTGCACTCAGTAGAGCGCACTTTTCTAGTTTTTACTGATGTAATGTTTGATTGAATGAATACAAACCATAATTGTCCACAAGCATAGCAGACTCCCACAACAGATATGCTCTCATTTTAATCCATGTGGCCAAAAAAACACAAGACTCCCACCAACTGCTAGCTTTCCTCTACTAACGAACTCTGTTGTAGTCATTTGCTAAGCATAGTTTACATTAGCGATAGTAAGAGTAGTGAGGAGTTAGCAGTCAATGACAGAATACATTTGTCAATGAAATACACACCCATTCATACACTCGTGCACATACACAACGAAATACATAATCTCCTGGTGGAGATAAAAATGATAGTATATTTACTCAACCTGCATATCATCTCAATCCAAACGGTGCTGCAGATTTAAGCAGTAAATAGCTTAACAGCATTTGTCAGTGTTGCAGGAAATTAGACATCTTATGTTGCAATAATCTCAGAAAACTTTGACTCAAAGCTCAAAAACCAGAGAGTGATCGTTATGATATTTCTTTCCATATAATTTATGCATAGGAAGGTAATTTTGTTCTAGTTCTTATTGAAGCTGACAGTTTGTCATGTACAGGAGTATATCCAAGCAAAGAAGCTGGTCTGGCCAGGCGCTGATTCTTTCTGATTAGATTGAATAATACCTTGCGGGGGAGTAGTCATTCTAATGGATTGTACAGTCCATTAGAGAATCAGTACCCTCGCTTCATTGTGATACTGACATGACAGCTCAGGTAAATTAAAAGAATGGGCATTGACATAAGTGAAGGGTAATAGCACTCATGGGCACATACTGTAGTGGGTTGGCTCAGGAACAAATTATGTTTGTATCATGAGCACTGGAAACAAAGTGCAGTAAAAACCACAGACTAGAGAGGTCACTTTGTCTGCGACTAAGGTTCAAGATTAATCTGAGAACTGGACGGATGCATACAAACTCTTGGCAGCAGTAACGAGGGTAAAGGTTTTTTACGGCTAGAACCATAAATGACAGCAGACCAATAGGAAGACTTACAGCAGGCTGATTCATCAACGCCTCCTCACTTCCGCTGTCTGCCGCAGAAGTCACTCGGCTGTTTACTGTGTCGCAGTCACATAAACACAAGATAAGTTCAACTGTGAAAGTATCCTACACCGGGTGTACTTACCAGCTCCACTTCCAACTCCTATGACATTTAGGTGGGACTTTCCGTTACCAATGCTGAGGGGAGAGCAGAAAAGCACTTTCAGTCTCCAGAACAGTCAAGTCTGGAAATTCACATCCTCCAACCTGCCGAATGTGGGTCACATTTCAGGGCTTGTAACTGATACGTGTGAGATGTTCTGAGATAGCGATTGAAGCATCTCCGATTCAGAGGCTTTGATTGTTGCTATCATGGCGTGTTCTGTCACTCACCATCTGGATTTTAATAAAACTATCACACTTTTTAAATTTACTTGTGGGGTATATCTCTCTCCAGGATTCCTCCCCGATGTGCTTCTAAGACAGTCACTGGGTTCAGTTCCCTGCAGCATGGCATTGGCCTCTCACGGCTAAAGCTGATATTAACGTAGAAAAATGTGCAAGAAAAGAAAATATTCCACAAACGCTTAATCAATGACATTTACATACCTTGTTTAGCTGGTTAATCTTTGTATGTTAGTAGTCAAATATTTGGTTTGGTGGGCAAAACAGTAACAAACATGATAAAACATGTATAATACAACAACAATACATAATATTCACATATTCTGTTTTTTTTCTTTTGACTGAATTCAGCTGTCATGATTAAAACACGTTGCATGTTGGTCTATCTGAACAAGTTATGTTGCTTAATTATTTCCGTGCTTCACATCTTCACACTATATTTTATCACATTTTTGACAGATTAATTGGTAGAGGTGTATACACTCCTTTTTCTGATTAAATCTGAAGAAAGAAATTGAATGTTTTTGACAGATACGCACTTACCAGCGAGTGTCTAATGAGCACAAAGTTACTTTCAGCCCAGGGACAACATCACATAACAAAGCATATACAAGCTTCCAGAGCTCTGTTTGGAAATAATGAGAGGTGGAGTATGGGGAGGTTCCTCCTGAGTGTTAATCAGTCTTCCTATCTGTCGTGTTAATCACATCCCAGGGGTTAAATGGTAGTGAAATTATTCTTTTTCCAATCAGCCCTCTTCTACACTGCTCATCAACTCTTACTGTATTCTGGACTGCAATCTTTTCTATGTTTCCTAAGGGTTAAGACAGTATCTAGGTTTATGGTAATCCAGTTAATCAGCAACATGCAAATCACAACACAAGTTATAGTTCAGGCCAATACCAGTGTTCTGGTGACAGTTCTGATGTATTCTATTATATTATCAATGGTGTGGTCATGTAGCTTCACTCCTAAACGTGCGTGTGTGTGTGTGTGTGTGTGTGTGTGTGTGTGTGTTGCAGATTACCTGGCCAGTATATCTGGAAGCATATTGTGGATGAAGTCCCGCATACACTGATGCTCAGAGGAGCGCTCCAGAAAAAGCTGGAAGCATTTCTGGTATCTGCTATCATCGTTAACCAGACTCGTCAGTGAAGATGCCATGGCAAATAAACTGGCAAAAAATAAATAAATCAGAAAATATTTCCATCAACAAAGAGGGTCAGAAACTGTAATCTCTGAAATGTGCTTTTTTCTTTTCAATTTGTTTTTATTTTCGCTTAATTAAACACAGTAGCTGCTGTACAGCTTGTGGTACTGTGACATCTGAATAAGGAGTTAAGAGTTTTGCTGTCAGATTTGTCATCGACAATAACTAAGCCTGCTGATATTTGATTACATTTAAGCAATAATAGGTTGTAATTTCATTGTGTTTTGTTTTCCGATCATGGCTAGACCTTCCTTATCACACTTACTAAATTTACAAAAAATATATAGTTTAACAAATATTCCCTTTCTCGTAACAGAATGCAGCCATTGGAGAATGATTTCCCTCCTTTGTTTCAATCATCACACATACATCAGGCTTCTGCTCTCGCTGTGTTGAACCTGCTGGTGAACACCCAATGTGAAACGAACTTCACTCCGTCGGATTGCTATTATTATCGACTACAGGACCGCTGAACACGAGCCACGTCTCCAGCAGCTGCACGTGATATCGCGGCTATCATGCTGTCAACAATGTAAACAGCAGCGGAAACAAACAGCAGCCCCACGCAGATCGAGACAGAAGCCCCGTCGCGTAACGTTACGTTGATGTGTGTGTGCCGATCGGAATAAATGATGTCACAGCGGCTTTTTTTTTTTTTTGGTTTGTCATATTCATTGTGCACGTGGTGTTTAAACTACACAGATTGAGACAAAACGCGACATTGTTCACTTACATGTGGTGCAGGAGGGAGTCCGGAGAGGTCTGCAGGCTGGAATAAAACCCTCCCACTAGAAATAGCCTACAGCTTCCTTTAAGGAGGGCCCCAAGATACGTCAAAGAAAAGCTCTCTCAACCCAGTGATGCAACACTGTAAATGAACTAGAAGTCCATTGAGAAAAAAACAACTAAGAGTTTACAGGTTTGACAAAAATGTCTGCTGCGTTTGCACATTGCCTAACGTAGACTAAACAAACATTAGATTGCAAATAAAGCATTATTGAGGGAGATTAAGTCACTGTTCTGATATGTGTAAGTAAATAACTGGGCAGCATGTCTGCAATTTTGGCGGATGGGAGAGCCTTGGTGTATATTTGCATTATACTGTGTCTTAATATCATAGGGATTACCATACATACTTTATCAGGGAAATGTGCAATATATATTTGAATGCATAGTGCTCACACATTAATGAATCACGAAAATGTCATCATTAAAATATATTTTCTTAAGACAAGTGAATTTTGCTTTAGGTTTACTTTATGTCATTTTCTCTAAAAACTGACAGAGGTTAACAGGAATCAGTACATCATAATTTCTCCATCTTGAAGAAAAATATTTTTATTGAAAAATCCTATTTTCTGGTCTTTTTGAGAATGTTTAACATTTGGCTTCTATAGAACAGTATAGCCAGAACATGAACTAAAACTAGGAAACTTAACCGTTATTATTAAGTTGTCCTCCCTTCACTGGCTCAAAGTTCAAGCTGAATTTCAGAGTCCCTTTATATGAGCATGCTCCGTCTTATCTATCCAACCTCATTGCACTCCATGTGCCACCTCTGTGCTTTCAGATCACAAGGTGCTAGCCCTCAAATAATAAGGACAGCTGAAACCGAGAAGAAAAGGCAGTGGACGGAAAATCATTTTTTCTACCAAGCATCACATCTTTGGATTGAACTCCCTTTATTAACTGATGAAGCAGAAATTCAGACCACCTCTGTCTGATTCAGTACCTGAAAGATATCAAAGTATAACAACTGTCTGTCTGTCTGTCTGTCTCTCTCTCATATGCACACAGACACACACACACACACATTATATAATGTTGTACACAAATGTCATATTTAATGAGTCTACAGTTGCCCTCTCTGTGAAGCTGTTGGGGTTGGTGCGTTGTGCTAAATGATAGCATCAGCATGCTCACACAATGACAATGCTAACTTGCTGATGATAAGCAGGTATAATGGTTGCCATGTAAAGGTTCAGCAAAGTTATTACAATTCATCTTGAAGGGAAGCACTTGTTTCATATCGCAGACAGTCCTTCTATTGATTCGTATTGACTGCTGTAGGCATTTACAACACTTCGGCCATTACACCTTGATGTTAGTATCATACAGATATGGAGGGTCATGGCGGTCCAGAGGTCTGTGATGCACAAGCAAAGATTTAGTTTGGAAAGACAAAACATCACCAGCAAAGTGATGAAAAGTGGAAGAAGTTCATCACTGCCGGGGTGCCGAACTCAGCAATAAATGAGGATAAACATTCATCATTTTAAAAGGTTATGTGTTTCTGCTAAATATTCATTAAGCTCTGATAGGCATACTGGGTTTTATTATATTTTCCGGCTTGCGAAAAATAGATGAACCCTGATTAAAACTAGACACCTTCATTGTTTAATTGTCTTCACTGAAACTTGCAAATGTGTCTTGAGAGCTGCTAAAATGACATGAATTGAACATGACAAGATCAGCGCACGTCTTTTCCACCCAAAAGCATGCCAAGCATTTGAATTCAACCTTTTCTTAAACAAAAGTGACAGTCTTAAATAAATGAATTCGACGAGACGAAAAGTTTTAAACACTTTCCCTCACGTCCTGCGAGCATCCTGGGACTATCAGAGTGGGAATCTGACTGGAGGGCGAGAGGAATCTTATCAGCTGCTTATATATTCTGGACTCTGCCTCGGAGCCTGTATCAGCAATTACACTTTGAGAGTCAAGGAGCCGATGAAGATCAGGGCAGGCCTAGAGCATCTCTCACAAAGATTTCACTCAAACCCTGAAATGTGCGACAAAGAGGAAAGAGTGCAGGGTTTTATTTTCACATGGTTCCACAATTTATTTGCACTTTTGTCCAGCTCTCCATGTACACACAATAGTAACACAAATAGCATGGTACTGTAAACAATGAGTGAACATACGTTTCGATTTTTTTTGGATATAACCCAATAGAATCAGGTCAGAGGTTGGCTGTTCTTTGTTTTATAATGGAAATGTGCCCCAGATAACTAAGTTTATTCGTTGATCCTGTTATCTAGATATTGTCTCACAACTGGATTTCACAATGACTTCACATTTAGCGTACTGTATGTCCCTTTGTCGGCCAAATATTAGAAAAAGAAAATGCTCCAAAATGTTTGGCAACTTGTAAAACAGAATCTTTCGCAAAGGCCACTCGGAGCACTTTCTGCCAAAATGGATCAAGCATGCTTACATACAATCAGCTGTGTAAATACAATTGTTACAACATGTAGCAACTATATTTGCACAACCATTAAGATTATAGAGTCACTGGTAAAATACATTCAAAAGGAGGTCAGATAACACAAGTCCAAATGTCCAGTTCGTTGAGGCAGAAAGAGAAACGGTGTAAACTCTGTTCAATACCAAAACCAGCAAGTATTAGAAATGTAATTCTCAACAGCGTCGTATGAATAATGCACTAGAGGATGCATGTTTAAATTATGCTAAATGTATAATTATGGTCAACTAAGATGCTTTACTAAAAAAACATAGATGTCTTGTACTATAAGTGGAAATCTGAAACAATTCCAGGGCTGAATAAACGAAAAGTTGTTTCTTTTTTGTGCATGAGCTACAGAAACAGAAATGCGATATAATCTACTTAACTAATATGTGCTCACAAATATTTGGTATTTGCTGTCTTTCATGTTTTAAGCCTTTGCTATCAAAAACTAGTTTCTCACCTTGCTCTGTCATCTTACTTTGCATTTGGATGTAATAAATGCTGTTAAATCTAGTGGATTGTTCGTAATCTCTATTCTGCTTTGGTGATCAGTGCTTTTTTTTGTTTTGCATTTGATGAACAAGTGTGTATGATCTTTATCATGCTGGTATTTAACAATTTGCATTAAAGGTCTGTGTCTGTTGTTTTCTTAAATGGACCAACCAGAGGAAGACTTTGTGTAAAAGCTTGCCATTGGCTGCCAGCTGGGATTCTCCTCCCCTTACGCTGTCTATTCGGCAAGGGCACCGTCGCTGCATCTTGTTCTTCATCCAAGACAATTGTGATTGGTTTAAAGAAATACAAACAAGCCAGAGTGACCCCCCCCCCGGCCTCAGTGGTCAAGTTTTTATGAGAATCAGGGAGGAGAAATTACTGCATTATTGTATTGTTAAACTCAAGGGCAACCTGCTTTTGTACGCCACATATACACAACATATGGCATCATCAACAAAACACAATCCGACAGCAACAACTTGCATTACAATTAAAACACTAGAAAAGTCATTTGAGAGGAAAAAAACAAAGTGAATCAGCACTAACGTAGTGCATAGAGCATCTCCTTTATTCTCAGAAATTCAAAAAAAAGGCTGTTTATCCAAAAGGCGTGTGACATTTCCTATTCACAAAGATCCAGCAGTGATGAGACAAAGTCAAATGCCAAATGTTCCATTGTTTCGTCTTTGAACGTCACGAGTGACTGCTGAGTCAAGATGATTTGTCTCCCTCACGACACAAATACCAGACAAATAATCAGGTGGCTCCTCTGATTCCTGACACACACAAAAAACTCAAACACCTGTGGATCCACTTTGTCTTCGCCTTTGAGGAGTCCTCGTTGGTTGCAACTTGTTGGTTGCAACCAGTCCTTTAAATGTGTGTTCACGTTGCAAGCAGTTAAAAAAAGAAGCTAGAGGTCCATTTATTACCTATGTCTAGAGGCCTTTTGTCTCATTTGCACCATGTTCGGCTTCGGTTCCCTCTTCTTCCAGGAGGAAAGTCAGCTGAAGCCAAAAATCTGGGCCGTATTGCCCTCAGCAGCAAATCAGGTGCAATCGTCGTTATCTGTCCGCTGCATTTTTTTTTTTTGCATTACAGTTGGCACTACAGCAAATAATCGCCCAGCTCAAACTGGCCAACAGTCAGTTTGATGTGACGGACGTGCTCGCTAACAAACAGAACGTAGTCTGGAGTCTGTCTGAGGCCGAACGCGTCATGTGAGGTATAGCCGCCTGGTTACATATCCATGTCACCATCGTAGGCCAGGGTCAAGGGCTTCTGCGGTGGGGGAGACGTCTTCGTAGATTTGGATGGTTTGCTGAAAGAAATAGACAAGAAAAAAAAAAAGATGACAGTGTATCTGACTTAGCAGCACAGGGCAGCCCAACCTGATTGCAGTCTTTACAAAGAATTCCATTATCTGGTAGCAGCTGCACACAGCAGACAAAATACTGTGAGGAATATAACTCATACTTGACAGGGTTCTTTTCGAGGAGAGCAGATGGTTCGGAATTAGCTTTTGCCTCTCAGTGTTCGGTCTCTCTTTCACCTACAATGTGTGTGGCCTACAATAGCGCTTTTGTTCTTGGAATTGTGCTTAAGAAGTCAATATGGTATACATACCAAACCAGGAATGATAATGCAATAATGAAGAGTATTAGGATGAATCCAACGGCAGTCACGGCGTAAACCCACAGCTTTACTCTTCCATCTGTGCAAGCAAAATGCAGTTTTATTACAAAGTTTTCAATATATTTTACGTCTACATCTTTCGTCTGGAGATCTGTTTTTCCCCTCACATTTTAGAATAAGGAGTTCTCGTTTTAAAACATACTGCAGAGGAGCAATTTAATTTTTATGATCAACTGAGCTTCTTTTTCTTTACAGCATATAATGATGAGCCAACGTAAAGACATTGGCCATAAAATGGATTCCACCTCCCGGCCCAGTGATCCTAGAGCTACAAAGACAGGTTCAAAGGCAGGGATGATCTCTGGCACACTGGTCTAGCTGTAAGGATGATTTCAATTTCAGTACCTGGGCCAACAGGTCTTAAGGTCCACTCGCTGAAAAGGTCCTGGGCCTGAGACGGCCCAGGTTTTAATCTTCCAGAGTTGGTTTTCACATCAGCTTTCTTGTTGCTGTCCACACCCGGGGTTCTGGTGCAGTAGTCCAAGAAGCCGTGCGTGGTCATTACTTCAGTGTAACCCTTCTCACACCCACACACTCCGCTCTGCATTAGAGGAGGGGGGGGAGAACATAATTTAAAGCCAACACAGGACAATTGAGATCATTACTTTCCCATTGCTGCAAACACTGCTTACAAATCAGTCTGCCGCGCAGAGGGACTACTCTGTTTTACTCTACTCTTTTAAAAGAATTTCTCCTTTACACAGGTTGATTTAACCAAACCTCCAGAGAGGGTAGATTACAACAGCATTTGAAGATAATGCAAGATACAAATGAGTCCCAGCCAGGCCAAACACACACACACACACACACACACACACACACACACACACACACACACACACACACATACACACACACACACACACACAGGAACCAAATGCAATACAGTAGCTCCCAGCATTCACATTACGGGTTTGCATCTAAATGCTTTTATAAAAAACACATAAAATGCTTCAATGCTTCACTGTTTAGGAGTGCAGTTACGGCGAGGTACTCTAAGGGGCAGTAAAACTTCAAGCTGAGGCTATTCTTTGTCATCTTCATAGCTGCTTGTGAGCAGTTTCACCCCCATCTAGGTGTGATCCCTAATTGACACGGACAATTGACGAATCCATCGCTATTAATGGATTCTTTAAATGCCTGTTCTTTATAATTAGAAATCTCATTTGTCAAAATCTATTTAGAATGTGGTAGCAGCAGGAAAAAGCAAAAACACAGTGTGAGTTACACAGATCACAGCTGCCCGATCAAAGAAAAATGATCTTACCGGTGTGCAGTGCGAGAAGGGTTTCGTGCACGGAGGATGGCAGTGTCTGACCGTGGTCGGCCTTTTCTGCGGGAAACACCCCCCTAAAGGAAGACAACAGGTTCTTATTTCTGTTCATTGATCACTAAATTAATGTACTGTCACACCTGATTAATGGGCTCAGTTGCCTATCGGGGCCTGTGATCAATTTGTGAACATTTTAATTCCAACATGGAAAATTGCATGTCAAAAATATCAAAGAGTAATGCCTTGGGATCTTGCCTTCTCTGCAGAGGAAGGTTATTCCTTCTGGGCTCATATTTGCCAGAAACACTTCCTTACAGCGATAGGATCACATTCACCAACTATTTACAGCACATCAAGCTCGCCTAAAGCTTTCGTTCCCACAGCGCTATTACCTTTGTTCTGTTTCTCTATGCCTGCTTCTTCTTCCCACAAATACAAATGCATGATTATTTTTATATGGATTGAAAGCCTCCCAGCTAAGAGTCTGGCTTATTGATTACATAAGTTAAGAGGGAGAGGAGGAATCAATGGAGGATGCACCGAGTATGGGCAGATCAAATAAGGTGTTAAATTCAACAAGAACACTATACTAAAAGTATTCCTTTATGTGTGTGTGTGTGTGTGTGTGCGTTAGTGTGTGTTTCTGAGAGTGCAAAAGACAGAAAGTACAAGATCATCCCTCTGCAGGCTGCCGTGCACAATTTTAAAATGATGCCATGAGATTCTCATGCAGGGGGTGAAGTTACTGATGATATTGAAGGGTGTAACCCAAATAAAGTACAATGCTATAAACTGAGATTAACAATTGCGAAAGAGATAACATCCATTTTTTTATATAAACCCTTCTCACTTGTTTCCAAATGTTTCAGTTAACACCTGAACAAGGAAATCCACTCTAAATGTATTTCTAAACCAGCTGCACCTCGGCCAAAATTACCGAATTGAGAGCTGAGATGAATGAAAAAATATTCACAGACAGTCATGGCAACGCGTACAAGAGCCTTTTTGAGTGATAAATCGATCTGATATTACAGCGCATATCCATGTGATCCAGGCTGCATAGAAATATGAGACCCTGTGCTGCTTTTTGCTGTTCACACCGACTCAGTTCAGTGCAGGGGAACAAATAAAGAACTGGGGCGCTTTCAGCTGCAGTGTGCATTAGGCCAGATATACATAGATACTCATATTTCTACAAGAATGTCTGCGTAAGTTCCTACGAGTGCTGCTGCTGCACGACGCCTCTGGGGTGGTGGCCAGAAGACACGGCAACTACTCACCTGTGACGTTGACACCATCTGAGCGCTGACACCACACCGCTCTCTCATTGTTGCTCCATCCCCCCGTCCTCCACTGGTAACTGTGGCATTTCCCCCCTGTAGCAATGGCAGAGAGGCACAGATAATGCTCAGTAGCAGTTTGTGTTGGGCCGTTTACCTGCATACAGACAGGCTTATAGTTAGTGAAACCCAAAAGGAGCCTCCGATCCATAATATCTGTTATGAGCTGTGTGGGCTGTCTCACAGTGCAAGTACTACTCCCATGCATTTCCAAGGTAATAGTGCACCCATACACACTGGTTAACATTGGAGTGTGGTTACAGGGTCAACGGAATGAAATGCATCTTTCTGATGCCCTCAAGAGTAGTCCTGCAGTGAATTGAACGGGTATTAATAGACGATTCCCACTTCATTGATCCATCTTGAGGATCACAGGTCAAGGTTTGTCCACTAATTGGCTGTCTATTTATAGAGAGAATAAAGCTCAACTTAACACCAATTAAAACCTAGTTTTACCCCATGGCTGCAGTGATGTAGAAGTGTACTCATGTGTCAAGTACACCCTGACATCACAGCTGGGTGTGGTAACAGGTGTAAAAGCCTTGAAGCATTCAACCAGAAGTAAAAAAAATACTGTTCATCTTAAAGTGTTTATAAACCTCATTAGCAGATTTGTAGTTATACTTAGGGTCAGCAAACAAACGTGTTCGCAAACAATTTCCTGTTTACACTTCAAGCACACATAAAGCAGCATTAGCAGTCATTCGACGTTTCTGACCAAAATTCACTCTCCTTGAGCTGTTTTTGGACTCCACCAGCTCCTGAGGGAAATCTTTGGCACTTCAGCTGATCAATGCTCCACTACGTTCAGCAGCTAGTCATTAGCTTTGTATGTCTGCTGTTTGTTGCTGAGCAGGTAGCACATGGTGGGTTTATCAGAGCTTATTTACTGAAAACAGTTAAAAGATGCTATAAAGCTCCGTAGAGCTGAGGAGGAAAGCAGCGGTAGGAGGATAATTCAGCGCAGGTCCATCGTGATCAACTACTTTCACATCGAGTAGTCGTGTGATCCTTTATAACAATATTGATTTTATTTGCTTTTCAGTAAGGCTTTTAAATCAGGTTATGTAAAGACAACTCACATCAATATAGCAAGGTTTTCCGACATTTCTACATAGTTCCTCAGTACCTTTGCAAGGCTGGGTCTCAAACACTTGATGTGGGCAGCTGCCCTGGTTCTCCATGACCTGAATGATCACAGCTCTAGAGCGAGCTTGGCGACCAGTGGTCTCAAAACTCCGCCCCTCCACGCAGGTCAGCTGGCAGGAGCTCCAAGACGACCACACAGTCAAATGGCAGTCTCCTGAGCGCAGAAAAGAGACAGAAAAGCATCACTGATAGGCACAACTTAATCAATAACACTGTCGGACTGTTTTCTGATACTTGAGGGTGGTCTGTATTCAGCTTGCCAACGCTATTTCCGGGAACATATTATGGCTCCCCTGCTAGCTCCAGGAACATTTAAAAAAGATCGGAAACAACTTCAGCACACAGCAGCAGCAGATAATGTACCAAATGTGCAAAAACAAATTACTCAGACAGCCCAGTGGGTATTCAGAAGTAATAGACACACCAGAGTTATAAATTATACAATACAAGCTATAACTCTGAGCCCCACTGTAAAGACAACTCCCAATACTGAGACGTGTCTCTTAGGAGAAGCAAAGCACATTTGATTTGGGAAATGTTTTCAGTGGATAAACGCTGGTTGATGCATTAAGTCTACAAATAACATGACAACACTTGTTTCCTTGAAGGTCAAGCATTAATATCCCATGCATATCCGTGATAGGGTCAGCTTGTAGTGATAATATCACCCGCTGTTACAGCCTCTCAGTCAGAAGAACCCTCTGATGCTCTGCCCCGAATGCCCATTAGTGACTGTCTGTGGATGGACGCATATCATTATCTTTCATCTTTACGTGGATCGACTCCATCAGTCATGCTGCTACGCCTGTGGAAACATGCTGTGTCTAAAGCAGCAGAACACAGCAAACAGCAACACATATACCCACACACGCTGTAGATCACATACATGCTTAAAACCCCTCCCCTGGCCCCCCGCACTGCGCCTGCCACCTTACCACGAACAGACAAATGGACACAAATACACACACATCTGCTCCGGCCATCAAACACTTCTGATCCTGAGCCAAGGCTCACAGCAAGGGCGAGTCGAGCGATGAATCAAGGCGAGGATCAGAGGACAGTGAGAGACAGATGAGCAGAAGCAAGAACTACAAGATGGTCTCGTCGTAGCAAAAGCTAACAAGAGCCTCGCGTGGCAGGAGCGATGACAAAGGAGACCAGACTTGTCTTTTTATCAGATGATAATGATTGCTTCTCTTTAAAAAAAAAAAGATATATTCCAGTAATTGTAGCTGGCTTTCCCGCCAACTAATTGTGCCTAAGGACAATAAAGCTTCATTACAGATTACAGAAGCCAGACGGTGACAAGTGAAGCAGGTCATTGCTGTCTGACCAGCGGCACCCTTGCTAACGGAAAAAGCTACATCCACACTGTGGCCCAAATATGGATAAAAGAAAAAAAAAAACATCAGCCGGAATCTTGTCATGTTATTCAAGTCGACTATGATCTCCTGGCTTCTCATTGCTGTGGTGATTTTTACAATGATAAGATTGACCAGACACAATTAAAAACCATGTCAACGTTTCATGCCATAGGTCTCTAATCTTCTTGTCAAAATGATCAATTAAAAGCACTGTGTGACAGTTGTTTCACTACATTTCAAAATGTCTACGTTCTCTTTTTGTCTCAATTTCAATATACTGGAGCCAGTAATATCGAGCCGGAATTTGGCATTACGTTCCTCATTTACTTGAACAATGGAGGAGACAAAACCAACAGGAACATAGTTACAGTAAATCAACTTTTTACTCACTATCTAGTCCACTGTTAATCTACGGCACACAGGAAAAGTGCCAGCAGTCCATTGCCAGCACTGGTGCATTTTTATCATTATCTATCACCGAGAACAGCGTGCGTGTGGTTTGATATGTACCGCAGACTGCCAACAGTGAACGTGGCAGCACTGTTAAAATTGAAAGGGAAACAAGTTGATCCAAATCGTCTCCTGACACATATCTCCAGCAGTGACTGCAGCTGCACAACGCTGTACAAATATATTTGAAGGGCCATTCATTCCAGTTTCATGTGTAATTTCCGTGTAATCGGCCCCTGATTTTCTTCGTATTATTGACCAGGACAGTGGAGCTTAAATGATGCAGTTTAGTTGTGCAATTTGTCGAAGATCGAAATGCTGTGATGCATTTCCCATTTAGTAGCAAAAGGGAACATTTTTAATTTGGAAGATGATGGGCCAATTGCTTCCCTTTAGATTTCTATCCAGGAACTCAAGTTAAACATACTTTTCTGGAGGCTGGTGGATCCTAGTGGTGGACTTTCATTTTACAGGTCTCAAATAAAGTTGGGTTAAATTGCGACTTCAGTAGCAGACACATACAGATCATCATTTTCCTGTAGCTCCACCTTCGCTATCTCTGGGCGCCAACGCTGCTTTTACTGCCAGCCCACAGCGGGCTGCAACATTTGTAGCTGCATAATGATGCTCTGCCATCACCTTGTAAGATCGTCCTTCTAAATGTATTCATCATTGTGATGCAAAATGAGGAATGAGGATAAACTAGAATAAACCAAATTTTTTTCATCTTACAATTTTTTCATCTACTGCTTTTGCAATAGCAATAAAAAACGATGAATGTTATCGAGGATATTCAGATTTAAAACTAGTTTAATTCTGTGGAAAATCGGAAATTGGAACACAAGCTCTCTGCATGCAGAATTCTGTAGCTGTTGATTGCTTTAGTTAGCACAGGATGATTTTCCACTCTATGTATTTCTAGGTTGTTACATACTGTAGCGTAAAATCTGTCCCTCGTTTAGTTGCTCAGTATTGATTTTTGCAGCTTTGATGCTCTTCGGTATTCTATTAACTATAAATGTGAACTTTCTTCTACCGAAGTGAACGTTGCGGGCTTCATTTCTAATTTGTTATTGGACGTGTTCGACCAGATAATGCAGAGGTACAAGGGTCATTAGTTAATCTATGAGTTTTATTGATTTTGCAATAATTATTTAGCAGCTGGAAATGTCAGCCCCTTTGCAGAGAGGACAGTGCATTGGCAGATTCCAGGAAGAGAGTTCGCGTTCAAAAACAAGATGATAAATTATGGAACAGGTGACCCAGGCCAAATAATCTTTGGCATTATGAATCCAAAATTACATAAGTAATAAATATCCCATGCACTAACACTTCATATACTGAACATCAATACATTTGAAAAGCAAAAAATGTTAATCCAGTATATTTGAGTGCAGCTTTACCTGGACAGGGAACGAAGCAGGGCTGCTCCATCTCTTGTTGGATCTGCTGCCGCAGTTTGTCTCCACAGAGCTCCTCGTCCACTGGCTGAGAAGGAGAATCGGGCCAGTTGCCCTTGTGGACGACACATGCCAGGCTCCTCCTTCGAAGCCCCTCACCACACTCTGCACCCTGCATGAACGGACACAGACAAATATGATCTTTTTGTAAGGTAACCAAAAGATGTTTCCTCAACATAACTTGGGTAAGAGGAAAGTCGTCACTGGCCGTCTATTTGACTTGGCCGGATATTATGAACTGTTTGTGAAAGAACGCTTCTAAACTAGTAGCTAAACTAGTTGGATGTTGCACCTCTGTAAGTTTAGAATTACTAATAACTGGTTCACATTGGAATACATTGAATATCTACGATTTAACTTAATAGAGCTATTTTTTTCAATTTGTGTAAAAATATCACACTTTAGGGACATAGATTTCTCTGGGTATTAATGCTTGTCTGCATTTCTAAATCATTATATCATTTATAAACTTTAAGAGGTTTAAGCTGCCCTGTGGAATTTTCTTGCAAAGAAAAAAAGTTTCTTCATTGTTCAATATTAATCACCAAGACGCGTGTGTATTTTTGAAGTCTAACAAACATGTTGAATCCATTTCCTTCTCCTTAAAACATTTACAAAGCCAATTTTTTGACAATTTTGAAACTTGCATTGTTTACATCCATGTTTACTTGCTAGCATTCTTCTTTTTTCCCGCAGCGTTTATAGCGGAATATTTCAACACCCCTCGAGCATTCACAGTGCAGTTCATACCTCCACAGTGCATGGGGACCAGTCACTAAGCAGCCATGTATAGCAAGGCCTTATGGGACACGGCTTGGTCTGGGTGAGCTGGTTGGGACAGGGCCGACCCTCCTCATGAGCCTCCTGCAGGATTCTCCGGCTGTGCACAGACTGACCTGCAGAACATCAAGGCAGACACTGTTAGGAACGATAGATCAGAGGAGGCCCAAGTGCGTCTGCAAACTGTGTGTACAGAGCACCGATGTTCAAACCGAATACTCTTTTTGCCTTTGTATGTATGAATCCAAAAACATGATGACATTCAGGGCCACTTTTAACATGACACACTGTGAGAATACAGAACAAAAACACTGTGGGAGTCATAGGACTATACTACATGTGAGTCAGTCTAGAAAACTAATTACATCATGACGCAAACATAAGGACCCATAAAATAATGAGTGGCAGAAATGAATGAGGTCTATTTATTTAGGAGTGAAAAGAGGCTGCGCCTTCTCTTTAGCCCATGAAATATTTTCCTCATGACAAACTGGAATAGGTGCCATAAATCTGCTTCACCAATGTGACTTTATGCTCAGATCAAATACTTTCCTACACAAGTGTTTTGCTCAAGAGAGCCATTCATAATAGGTGGAAGGGAAAGTTTGGTAAATGGCAACACTTAAAAGGGCCGGCCACAGAGTGGGTTTGTTATGCTGTAACAGCTCAGTGTCTGGGTCCTCTGAGGCTCAGCAAAGGCATGGCCTCCATCAGCCATCCAGTTAAGACAGAAGCTGTGTGTGTTTGTGTTATGCCAGGGGAGATGCTGAGCTCCGTGGGCCCCGGGCAGACACAGCAAAAAGGACATTCAGCTCTGCCATCTCAAAAATCAAACCAAAACATTAGCGCTCCCACGAGATCCTGACAGAACAAGATCCTCGCGTCGTCTGACACAAATATGACGCAAATCCCTCATCAAGGCTGACAGATGTGTTTCACATTGTGTGAGAATGAACAGAGAGAGAGAGAGAGGCAGAAACAGAGTCACAGCAACAGTGACAGAGCAGAGAGAGACAGATAGAGAGTCTTGAGTTTAAATCCCCAGCTGAAAGCCTGTGTAAGTGTACGCTTACTGGAATGAGGGGTGGATCGTGAGAGACAGTCGACGACACATTAAAATTAATGAACCTAAGAAGATGCTGTTTTTGAGTCTCTCTAACTGAGATAATAACACACGATTGGCTTTGGGAGCCCTGAGAAACAATGCATGCATCAAGGTTATATCATTAACCTCTGTACAGCGCATGAGGTTATAACATGGGTTTCTCAAAGTGATGACGAGCATGCCACAGGTTTGTGATGACTAAGTGCATTTTTGAAATCATACAGAGAAAGGGTATATATTTTATTTAGGAACACTGAATCATTTATGACATCCATAAAGGTGAGCTGTATAAAATTAGTTTAATGTCAACCTGCTGTTCTTAAAATCGAACCTCATGTTAATTAACAAAACTGGGCTTCATACAGCATATAATATATATATATATATATATATATAGATATATATATATTTATATAGACTAATAGATATATATATATACCTATATATAGTATATAGGAAACAAACCTCAGCAGCACACTGTTTCCCTATATAATAAGGGTTTGGATGACACACTCTTAAATATTTGAATGCATTTAAATGTATTCATGCACAATTTAAAGTCTTGGTGAATGCCTAAGTAGAAGGAATAATGAGGCGCTGCACATGTAGTCGACTCTGTGTCTGTGTATCATGTCGGTGCTCCCGTTGGTTTTGACTAAAGTTTGTTTACCTTGGTTACCACAGCTGTGCGAACATTCCTTCCACGGCGACCATTCAGAGAGAATGCAGTTGACAGGACAGTTAACCACGCAGCTCTCTGACAGCCTCCACTTGTTGATCAGACCAAACTGTAGAAAAACAAGAGAGGAGCTGTGAGAGGGGATAGCTAATTATTTCCACTAAGAAGAAAGAAGGAGCGCGCCATATTTCCATATTGTAAATGTGCTGTAGTTCATTTTAGGACAGTGGAGATGTAGCAATTAAACAATTTTACCATTAACCTTGCTTCCAAATGTTATTGAGCTACATTCTTTGACTTATTTTGAGAGGGAATCACATTGTTAATGTTGATGTGTCTTAACACATTCTTGAAACCATTTTGCAACCCACCAGTGAGAAATGTTACAGCAATTGAAGTAGCAGTATTTTAATTTACAGTAACTTGCTGCTTTTTCAAGGTCACCATCTATCTTTGCACAATTAAGTCAAGGCAATTGAATTAAGTTGCGTTTTGGCTTGGTGGCAAACTGCTTCGTGAAAGATAAAGGTGTTACAACCTTTTTCACTTGAACAAATTGGGCAACTGGTCTTTCAATAATGTATAAGCCAGTGGAAACAGGAAAAAGGGGAGTGTTGCACCATTAACCAATAATTAACACCTAAAAAAACACCCAAAACTATTTTGAAGTAGGCCTACAATATTCCAATTGTCCCTCTATGTCATTTGGCTCTATCTACATTGCTTAAGATTTCCAAATATATGGCATCAGAAACAAAAATAAACATTAGACTTCTATCTGGCTGTCCATAGTGAAAAACATTTTAATTTCATCTGTATGACTCCCAAATCATGATTTTTCTAACTGTGGGATGCCATGATGAACTTAAGGCCGGACTACACAGTGATTACCTGCTTGCACTTCTGCAACTCCACTATCTTGCCGTCGCTGCGAATACAGTCCACGAGACGAAAACATGAACCCTGACCACAGATGGCATTTTCGCTCAGCTGGCATGTACTCCAGTCTGCAACACACACGCAAGCACACACACACACACAGCAACATATCTGGACATTAGTCTCACTGCCAGAACAGCTTGTATGCCCATCCAGCAGGAGCACTGTCAGTTCTAACCAGCAACAGTGTGCTAAACTAATAATCCGTTATTTTGGGAATTTTAACTTTTTCTGAACCACGTCTTGCACAAGCAAACCTGGACAAGCACACATGCCTTGCTTTACATTCATTCGGTTCAATACATTTGCATTGGGATTAAAAAGTCTACTGCCAGTTACTGGGAGCTGCCCTATCGCAAGTCATCCACTTGTAGCTCCGGCCTGGTGTCCAGATCGTCCTACCTGAGACTCTGTACTGGTAGGAGAAGCAGGTGCTGTTGAGGATACAGGGCTCTGACTGGACCAGCTCTGGACAGGCTGAGCTTTCCGAGGCTGCGAGGCGGAGGATGTGTCTGCTCCTGTTACGTGCTGTTCCTTTGTGACATTGCTGCACAACAATGACAGCATCACCACAAACACGAACTTGTCAAGAGCAGAGCAGGTTTATTTGCAGAGATGAGGGAGACGGGATGAAGCTGGTTGGAATTAAGTGGTCCTTCGGTAGGCAAGAGAAACTGAAAGCTGTCTCCTGCATTTATATTTATTGACTAACACATTATGATCACATTGTAATCATGCTTTGAGTCATCATACAGGCAACCTAAAGTAAGAGTTGGGAATTAGTGTGCTAATTTGGGTAAAAATATTGTAACTTTGTGGAACATCAATTTTAGTTTTACAGTTATAGGTAAATACATTTCATATTTTACAGGTAAATCAAGTTATTCTTTAGAGCAATACCCTGTGTTAGATTAAATCCATATCTAAGCAATAACCTCGTGGCACAACATGCTTTTTGAGCAGGGAACTTGTGTTTTGGAATGTGGGAGGAAGTAAGGAATGGATCTGGTGATGTCACCATTAGTCATTATTAGTGTGAAAGAAAATCAGCAAAGGAAATCATTTTGTACTCATGAAGTATTGGGGATGGCAGTTGACATAGTAGCTAAATCTGGTACAAAGCATCAACTCTTTCTTTGAGATTACTATTTTTTCATCCCTGACAAACACATTTAATGAAAGACAGAAAAAAAACTATTGAAGGTGAGACCGTTCTCTTTACTTTGGTGCTATCAAAACAACCTGGCTTCTTACACATTGTGTCTTCTTTGAGAAAAATCTACCTAATATAGTTTTTTTTGAAGATGTAATTAAAATATGACCTGCTGTTGTTGCTCATCCACAATCCTTTTCTTGTTTTTGAAATGATATGTCGATGATATAAAAGTAGTATGATTGTAGCCTATATGCTTGGCATGGCCCTTTTGAACATTATTTAATTTCCAATGTGTGATTGTAAAAAAAAAATGTTCTTTTCTTTTCAAGCCACCCAAAATCCAAACAGCAAGACATAAAATAATTACTAAGTATCCTAACATTTTGTACTGAAGTTGCAGTTCACCATTTCTAATGCCACAGTACAGCGGTTCCTGTTTGACTCTCTCTCTATTTTTTTCTTGAACAAAATGTCAATACTTAGTTTTTACATTAAAGTTTATGCAAATTCAATGACACAAATCTGTATGAAGATCCTCTTATACCCTGCAACTGGGAACTTGGAAGGAACTAGGACACGTTTTTGATCGGATTTCAACATCATATGACAAATACACTGTAACTGCTGCCTTCAGTGTGCTATAAATGATGTATTTTCAAGCTGAAAGTCTAAATAATCCTGCAAAGTAGGTAAACCGGCAGAAACCTGAAGTTACCATCATATAATATTTTACACAGGGCAGTTGAAGGCAGATGAAGACGAGCGTGACAATAATTGAGAGATCAATCATGAGAACTGTAAGAGTGCCACATTTACCAAGTGACTCTAGTAGGATGCAAGTCACTCGAGTCACTACATGGGAATGTAAATCTGTGAACAGAGAAGCGAAGTATGTGTGGAAATTTGGTATATAGGCTATAGAGGACATGTCAGCTCCGAGGGGAAAAGACAGATTCTACTGATGAACGTCTTTGCGCCGAGCAGCATTTGTCCCTCTGCTCCTGATGCATCACAACATGCACCTCAATCACTGTCACCTCCTAATGAGAGACCTCTGTGTCAGGCTCATGAATCAGCCACAGTCATGTGCCTCTAATGTTGTTCACACCGACTGTCACACCCATGCTCATGCATTTGTGTGCTACATACATAAAGTCCTGCAATCTGCATGCTCAATTTTGCCTTTGGTCAATGACGGATTAGGACCAGGTTCTGAACAAAACTTAAAAACTAATCTCCTTCACTTGGAACAACTAAACCAAACCTGGAGGGGAAAGTTCCGTTGTTTTTCCCTGCAGGGAGCTACAGTATGGCAACTGTGTTGAAAATGTGTTGATACTGGTCTTGACCATTTCACACTGCAGCTGAAATTGTCCCTAACTTGTGCTCACTGTTGTTTACAAACCAGTGTTTTAGCATTATCTAGCCCTCTAATTTAAGAATAGTTTCTAACATTGCCAAATATTTTCCAAAACACGTAGTGGTGTTGATAATAGCTGAATATGTTTTCCTGCATTACAGGTCAGAGTAGGCCATTTGTTTTCTGTTTATTTCATTTCAGTTGGAAATACATGATGCAATCCTGTAGCCACTGAAATGCATGTTCACAAATAGGATGGCTGGTTTTCTAAAGTCATCTCCATGAAACACACGGTGACAAAACACAATCATTCACTCTTGGAGGCCAGGTCGGGGAATAATGTTACAAAAGCCGAATTTCAATGAACCTTGGAGAGGCGTTGAAGTGCAAAGTGATGTAAACACAAAACTGTTTGTGCTTCACTATAAAGACTACTCTGGGTTTATTCTTGATACTATGTGACTTGTTACCGTTTCAGAGGGTCTTGGAGCTAAAGGCAATTCTCCTTAATTGTATTTTTATTGACACAGTTGGCTTTAACCCTAACTCAAACGAGGCTATGGGGAAGGAACATCATTGGCCATCATGCCCCTGTGAATGTATGTAGACAATGTAGGGGACTATCACAGTGTTATTAACCAAGACGCTTTCCTTCATCACGGTACCACCTCTGCACCCCACAACACCGCTGATCTCATCACAATCCTGCACACACTACACTACACTACACTACACTACACCCTCATTCCAGCTGAGTACAGGAATGGCCCAGGGCGATACAACTATCTTCAATTACGGCGGACTAGTATATTTTACGCAAAGCACCCCTGTTTTCACTAACACTATTTGCAAAGAAAGATTTTCCTTCCAGGACATCAGGAATTAAGATTTGTATATTCAGGATCTCCATCTCTCATTAGTGTCTCAGAATGTCCCAGACGTCCAAACAGGTGGGAGTGAGACATGGTTGTTTGGGAGGACAATGGAGATAGATCAGTATCAAGAATGACTCCGTGACAGGGCTTTTTGTATGAAAACATGGTGGATTCATACTGTACTTTATTAAAAGATTTGGTTGTGGAGTTTTGCAAATGTAAGGTTTAAAAAAAAAGTTGAATAATACGAGAACTGTTTCACTTTCTTAATTACAGTGGTGATTGAAATTTACTTTTAGCAGTGACAGTTTAAATGTATGGGCAAAACATTTATGTATAAATGTACAGAGACTTTTATTATTGTGGGAATGCCTGCAATTGACAGTTCACTGTACTTGTGCAGGCCATAACACATAGAATAATTTCAGGGGGACATTTGTAATTGTTTAGAGCTCTATTGGGTACATAAAAGGCTGTTTATTGTAAAATAATCTCAAGTGTATATTTCATATCTTTCTATGACATAAGTTTGTCTGCTTCCAGGAATCCAAAGATATCGTCACAAGATTGATTGAGACAAAATGTCTGTGGAGAAATCTCAGTCTAAGTAAGTAATCTCTCCATCTCTTTTTTCCCCAACCTGTTCTTTCTCTGACGCCAATGTTCCAGCCCACTGAACTGTTATGTTTGACAGGAAACACATAACACGGCTACATGGCCAGAAGACCAGCAGCCTGTGGCTGGAAACACGGGGGAACCTATGTTACGTAGTTTAGGACTGAGGGCATAGGAAAATGGAGGAACATTAGTAGATGTATTAACATTTGCAGTATCTAACATTGTAGTGCAGAATGTGATTTCAAACCACACAAGGTTACAAAGCAGCGGGGTGGATGTACCCAAGATAATTACAAACACTTCCCTGATGTGTAATTAGAATGGGACGTTTTTAAACTTTATATTTATAGGGAGTCTAATGAAACATCATGCATTTATTGACATTTTATAGTATTTTAATAGTGCTGCTGCTGTTGATCATTTTAATTCACAGAGCTATCAATTTTCTAAATAATGGAGTCTAGGAAGTGGGGTCTAAGTAAACAATCAAATACATTTTCTGCCAATAAACTGAGATAATAATTGATTCATTAATATGTCACTTCATGATAAAATGTTTTTAATCAACTCTAATACTAACATACAATGTGAACATGTGTATCACATGTGTATTTAATAGTATGTAGTTACAACAGTATTGTAAACACACACAAATGTCAAAAATGTTAATCAAATTTGTTATTAAAAAAACTGAACAGCTTCTATTCAATACTGCTCAATGCTAACGGATTATCTGGACATTTTACCCAAAAGTTCGCTTGTATGCTGATGATTATGGACATTATGGACATGTTTTCAATGACAATAAATGATCTGACTTGGCACACAACCTGTCAACCAACCAAGAAAATAGTCACTAGATTATTGTCACTTACCAGAGGGCAGTTGCTCCAAGGTCCCCAGGGTGCCATGACGCAGTCCTCTGAGCAGGCCAGAAAGCAGACTTGGGCTCTGGGTGGCGTTTCCTCCTCATCACACAGACTGTCTTCCAGCGTGCTGTTCTCCCCACTCGTCGTTCCCTGCTTCACACACCTAGCAAAGCAGTAGATACAGCTGTATAACTAGTCTCTGGGGCACTCCTAACTGGGTCTTTTTTGAGTTTCAAAACTCATTTCTAAATCTCTGATTTAAAATAGATTTCACTCCTTTTGCTCTCAAGTGAGATTTTGCTACTCGTTTATTTCAACAGGGTCACTAAAAATGTGTCCCCATGTGTCTGGGTTCTCCAAACATTTAGCTGTGTACAACTGAAAGGTCGGTTCAAAAGGTCTATTTTCTGCTTAAACTACATACATTACAGCATTGATTGCTTGTTCTAATGACTTCAAATGACCTATGTTTTTTGGTGAGCATCACATTGCACTTATGTGAATGACTATGTTTACATTCAATGGCAATGGTGGAAGTAGCATGTCATTATCTTGCAGCAGTACAGGAGTATGTCAGGCTGAACGGTTGGATTTACCAAGCTTGTGACTTTGACACTGGAGACCTAAGTTTTTGTTTGAAGTCAAAACCTCTCTTTCTCTCGCTTTCACTTCAAAACCTTAGTTTTGGTTAACCATAACTTAACTAGAGGAATGGAATGTTAGACAACTCTCATGCAAAGTTCTAATATAGATGTTTAAAGGGTGACTGCTACATTATTAGCATGATTTAAGAGTGAGAAATTGTCTGAGGGCTGAGGGAACATGTGTGAGGAGTGGTAAAATCTTCACAAATCATATCTACGTAATACATTTTTAGAATAGTTCTTCTCAAAAATGTTCTCATTAGACTTTCACAGTGAACTGTTAAAAGTGTTAAAATGCAAATATCTGGAAACAGAGAAAAAACAACTTTGATTTGATAATTATTTCGATTTCTGCTCTTTTGGTGGTTGAGTTTTACCAGTTTTAGATCTGTGGCTGTGACTCACACGTAGAGGCTTAAGTGTGAGACCAGTTAAGTTGCTTTTGACAGGGTAAAACATGATGCCCAGTTTGTCATTTCTCATTTCCTATGGTGCATAATCCAATACCAACACCTGAACATGCTGCCTGCAGAATAGGTCAACACTTCACTGCTCCCCTCTGTTGCTATTTTAAGTGGCACAAAAAGGCAGTGCAAAAAAAAACAACAACTAACAACTCATCAGGAAGCAGTAGTTTGTTTTGACTGTTTGTTTTCCCCTGGCATTGCAAGTGTCAGGACCAGTGCGAGTGCCAGCTTAAGGAACGTTGCCAGTAAACGTGTGTTGCGGTGCCAGGCCAGCCGTCTGCCAAGCCTAACCCGCTCACTGACCTGATCTTGCGGCTTTGGACTCCCTCCCCGCAGGCTGGCAGGTCGTCCACGGTGTTGATGGTACAAATGGACCAGGGCTCGATCCTCCACTCATATTGGCCGCATTCACTGTAGCATGGCGCAGCCTCATATACCTGTGTGTGCATGTGCAAACACACACATGAACAGACAGACACACAAACACACAAGGAAAGGGACACACGCAAGGGATTATAGAAAGAAAGCATGGACATGCATACAAATCAGCTCACACACACATACTGAACACACACACACACACACACACACAAGCAAGCATATGCATGTATAGAGTTGGTGCATACACTTGTAGGGAAGGTAGAAGATATCAGGGTCACTTTCACTTGTCATAGTACACTAATGAGGTAGCTCTAGGTGAAAAGCAGTATTCCTTATGGGATTTCATTTGGTAAATCTAACAAGAAAAAAAATATACCTAACAAGGTATAATTTTTTGTCTTAATCTAGGACCTATACATGTAAAGAAGCAGTTTAAGAATACAATATATGCTAGTATTCTCTTCTTTTTGCATTCATATTTAACATCAAGCACTTGTGCAGTTATGGATATGCATATTGCTTCCCTGGGACATTGTGAAGTGCATACTACTCCCAATTAAGACATAAATCCGTTAGGTGTTGCCAATGATGCTGGAGTTTGATATCAGGATGGTGTCGCTTATATTTTCCACATTCAGAGTATGAGCATAGGAATAGACTGTGAGTATCAGAAATGAAAAGGAAACCTCAACTAAACAGCGGGGATCTGAACTAACTGATGGCATCTTACCACTGCAGAAAAGGACAAGAATGACATAGTATTATTATTATTCATACTCTTATAAACTCTATGCATGATATGGAGAGGACAGCATGTGGTGAACGACAATGATCATGGCAATAGGCCCTTCAGCTGAGGATGAGATTGGTTGGATGTTGAGCATTTGAGTGACTCTGGCATGTCTGTAAAACCAAGGGAACAGTGAGCGCAATGTTGCTGTAAACACATGTTTACTCTCAATCTATGTAAGAGTCTGCCACAGTAAAAGGTGTCCTCTGGAGGACAATTTGTAGAAAAAGCTATGACAAGCTATAATAGGTGTCTGTAAGTGTATGTGTGTGTAGATGTGTGTGTGTGTGTGTGTGTATGTGTGTGTGTTCAGACTATAGAAAGGTAGTGGGCGTTGAGTATTCCCTCCCCTACGGGCCACACAGATGCCTATTACACACCCTCATCATCTCCCATCTGTCCCTGCAGATGCCCCTGTTGGGTAAACTGGCAATTGCTCTGCTCCCACTTTCTCCATTACCACTGTAGAAACACAATTTCAGCTTCGCCGCTAATTTTCATCGGCAGAAAAAAAGACTTTCCAGTCATTTTCCACAATATATACACTATTCATTGTGCACTGAAGATATTTATTCAGTGATAAATCATTTGACTTGAACACAAACCAAATGGGTTATGTTGCCACAACACATACGATGTCAGATAGATATTTAATCATGTGTTGGCAGGTTAAAGCTGGTGCACCAGAATAAACAGACGGAGTAGAAGATTTGATCCCAAGTACATCTGCACACACATTGACGAAGAGCTCTCATTGCAGAGGAAGGCAGAATAGACAATCAGTTAGAATCAGCTGGTTCAGACCGGATTCCCTCATTGGTTTAACGATATATGGGCAATCTCAATCAATCTCTGTTTTCTGTATTTTATAAACATATGTTTATGTTTTGTATTCTTTTCTGAAACACTTCTGAAATGAAATACATTTTTTTGGACAAGCATTCTCTCAAAAGCCTTATCGACTATTCAAACAATGTGATATAATTTAATGAAGTTCTTCTTTAGAAAAATGTCCCCACAGTTAAAAAGCAGATGGAATATTATCCAAATGCACTTTACATAACTGATTTCCATCCATGTAAAACTCTCTCCAATCAGACTACTGTTCTTTCTCTCAACCAAACGACCAAAAGGGTCACAGGAGTATATGCGACTTGGACAGATCTGGCATGCATTTCGTCTTCATTAGCTATAGCAGAGTATGTGTACAGAATGAACGGCACTGACCTGAGCCTGCGTGGATGTCCATATTAGCAGTGCATGACAAGCCAGAAGTTGGGCAGAGGAGAGAAGAACAATGATATGATCATTAGTTTAGATTTTGCCTGCAGTGACAGAAATGTATAGTTTTGCTTAAATTAGATTTTTTTTTTGAAATACTTCATTCTGCTCTGTGTTTCATTAATAAGGGGAAAGGATGATTAAATACTCCATCATCTGCAGTGAATCTAGTGGCCCTGGATATTTTGCCAAAATGTATGATTCATAGTGTTGAGAGTTTTAAAGTGCTGCAGTTGGTTGCAACAGCTGTGCAATGGCCAGTTCTCCAGCTGAAGGCAACTCTGATGAAGTAATTTGTCTGGAGATGGGGAGAGGGTAGTCGGCGCGAATGAGCATATGCTCAAAGAAACTGTGTGCTCTGTATCCAAACAAGGTTTCCTAAAAGTAACTGTTATGTTGCTGACAAGAAACTGTTCAGCCTGTCCTGATTCACTTTTCTCATAGTTGAAAGGACATTCAAATAAAATCCCCAGAACCAAGACAGTACTAACATTTGCGTAAGAGTAACGTTTCAGCCAAATACCGTGTGCTTCATGCAGTGACAAACGGTCATAGCAAGAGCATGCACCCAGCCCTCTGGATGCCAAAAGTCACTTTATCCATTCATACACTCCTCCAGGACTGCACATACTTCTCTTTACCAAGTGGAATGTAAAGCTGGAATCGTATTATTGTCAACCTCTCTCAATTGTTGTATGAGATAATGGCTATGCCTTGCATCCAAAAAAACAAAAGACACGCACACCTGCAAAAACGTGATGAACGCCACATGCACACAGACACACACATACACACTGTAAGTGCCGACACGATGATGCATACGTCCCCATATACAACAGGACACGCAAAGCGCCAACAAGCCGTCCTGCAGGAATGGCACATTGCTATTACTAACACAAAGAAAATTGGACAGAAAGCCTTAAAGAGGAGCACTTTCTTCCATACAAAAATCTGAGGAAATGGAAGAAATAAACAAGCTGAGATTGTATACAAATGTGTGCAATTTTCTACTTTTACCATTACTTACTCTCTAATGTTACTTTTGACGATATTCAGGAGTTAGGGAAGAATCTCAGCTGCTCTAACAGTAGTGGCAAACTTCAACTTGCCAGCTTAGCTATCGTAAGTGGGCTAAGGCACTGTCAAGGGGCTCACAGAATAAATTAACTCAATCAACCAACTGTGGTAATTGTGAAATACATACAACATTAGTTGCTCCAAATAGGGCAACCTGCGACCACAAAGTAATTAGCATTCGGTCGGTTTCCCAAACAGAACACGTAGCCTACAATGGTGTTTAAACAGGTGAGTCTCAGTCGAATGTGTCGTGGTTGCTTCTAGTGACAGCAGCTGTTGAGAACAAGAACAGAACATGTAGGTCTCCTTGTAAAAGCCCTCAAATTGACTTTCGAGAAATGTTATATGCATAGCCATCTGTGTCGATTATTTACCAACCATTACCAACCATAAGTAAATACAAACCATTCCAGCATCTGGCTGAAAGTCTCCAGTTAACAGTGTTCGCAGACACTAAGTCACTACGATTTGCCACTGCAGCAGCACCACTAAATGTCTCTGATTGTCATAGAGTCATCACAGCTTCAAAGAGACTGCACTATTAGTGTCAGCAGGCCCATGGATGAGTTAGAAAACAATGGCTCCTCTAAAAAAAAAAACACCAGTGGAATCTATTCACATGTGATGATGACCTCTCCAATAACCTCATGTACGAAAAGTTGAAAATGTGCCAACGTATAATGTAGCCATTTGGGTGAACGCCTTTGAGTTAGACACCTACTTGTTGATGCTGAAAATTAATCTAAGCCTCTGTAAATAATCAAGATGAGAAAAGATTAAATACAACCACAAGGACGACAACATTTTGCAGAAAAATGTGTGTTGGCCTTTCAAATAACCAACATACTGTACATACCGTGGCATTCAATTGGACCCTTTGATGGCATCACAGTATGTTGGTACACCAATAAAGACACCAAAAGCCGAAATACATTGAAGAGTAGTTTAACACACACACACACACACACACACACACACACACACACACACACACACACGTTGCACTTCCATTCAATTTATCCGCTTCATCTTTTAGACTACCCCTGGGCAACAAACCATGAGTAGCCTGCTGAATGTAACTTTAGCATAAACGTTGTTCTTGTATTTATTGGCGATAGAAATATGGTTTAATGAGCTTTAAGAAGGAAGCCATAACAATGTCACAGTAGGAATGTATTAAAATGTGTTTTAGCACTGTGTCTCAATTGTATAACAGACACAGTGAACCTGCAATGTTAGATCAGCTGTAATGATCTCTGCCAGGTTATGTATTTGTACCGCTGGACTCATCAGCCTCATTGTTTTTGTGCTTAATGATGACAGTTTGTCTGTCTGTCTAACTGTGTGTGTGTGTGTGTGTGTGTGTGTGTATATGCATGTATGTATAACTTTAACCATCGCTTAGCAAATCACAAATCGTGTCATCTCAGTAGGAGGAGAGATATAGTTAGCTGTCCCTGCAGTGTGTTTGGCTAGCACACCTAACAGCTAAGAGGGCTAATACAGCTAACAGAAATAACAGGTTAGGAGACTAAACACAGAGCTGGACTGACATTTTCTGTTCAGAGCAAGCGTTAGATATTCAACATGAAGTGTGGTACAGTGGACTGCACTTTGGCTTCACTGAGCTGGTGCGGGCAGCTGCATACTGTAGATTAAAATGAGAGTGTATCTGTTGCGTGAGACGTTTGAGTGAAAAGTTTATCTGCAACGCTTGTAGTCTAGACGGGGGGCAATTATGGTTTGTATTCCATCAAACATGATAGCAGTGGTCGTTGTAGACACACCTGGCAGAGATCTGCACTCTACTAAGTGCAGCTTTCTAGTTTTTCCATGTTATGAGTAGCCTATAACCTAACACCCATTGACTCCAGATACACGACCTTAACTGCTCTAAAATTAATTTGGATCTTTGACCACTGAGTTGGTTTGTATATCACACTCTCTCTGTCTCCTACTGTCTACCAATTAGGTCTCTTAGCACAGAGGACGTCAATAAACCTTACAAGGCTTTACAAGATGTATGTCTGACATCGTTCCTGGCACAACGCAGGGCAGTGCCGTGACTTTCCATAATTACGCAAATTCGAATTCAAATTCTAGCTCTAAAAAAATTTCCATTAGTCATTTACTTTGTTATCCATTACCAGGACACAGCTCAGTAAGACAGTAGTGCATTAGCGAAGACATTTTGGAAGCACTTAACCCTGCGTCCACCTTTCATAATAGCTGTGGTCAAAGATCTTTGTCACATACTTAGACAAACATTTGGGAATGAGCTCCCCTAACCCTTCTCCTCTCAGTTCGAATATGAGCAATGTGTACTTCAATAAAAAAGCACTGAAAACACTGGGAAAGTCACAACACAGTTCACAGTCACACCTACAGCCCCATCCGGGCCCTTTTTTCCTACGTTTCTTCCTGATAACTGTTAATTCTACTGTCGGAATCTTGTTTTATTAGGATTGTATTTGTATTTTAGTGTGTTTGGCACAAGAAACATGTTCTTAAAAAATCATTTAATACCAAAATGAAATGTACAGAGAAATGCATCTCTGGATGTTTTAGTGTTAACCACAAATACTATACAGTCAAATCTTAATAAATACAGATAAAAGTATATTTCATTGATTGATTAATGTAACTTGAGTAAAAACTAGAGCTTTTAGATTACAAAGTTCACTGTAATTGTGTCTATAAAAAAAATCATTCCCAGGTATGAAATGATGAACATGTATTTAATATTCGCCCAGCCACTAACTACAACTTTATTAGCAGATAGAAGCTGTGATTAACCTTTGTATCTGAATTAAATGCTGTGCACCATGTGGGTAGCTGGAGGCTTTTAAAGAAGATAGAGAGGCTTCAAAATGTAACCTTTCTGGGTGGCAGCGCTTCAGGCTGCCTGAACAATATGCATGGTTTGTAATGCAAGGAGACACCTCACTTTTTGCCCTGGGCCTACAGGGGGAGAACAACACATGCCCAAGCACTGCTCTACGTTAATTACACCTCATTGGCCTTAGGTAGCTCCATCAGCAGTTGGCTCCAAAAGCCTTTTGTCCTAATGAAGGAGAGAGATGAGTTCGGCGACTGTGTGCTCTCGGGTAAAAACAAGAACATGTGTTCTGTTTATTTCTTGTTCTGATATTTGGGATTTATCCATTCTTTAGACTTTCTATTGGCTGTTGTTGGCTACTGACAGATGGACAGCATGCAGATGGATGGAAGATTTGATTGTTGTGAAATCTGCGATAGATGGTAATGGTTCCCAGATGATGACACCAAATGTCTCTTTGGGAACCCACTTATCTTCAGTGAGAAAAAAGCCGACTTCTGTCTTGCAGTAAAAAAAAAATCATGAAAATAAAACAAAAGTAAATTTTGTTACACGCTATAGTCCTTGAATAACGCTCATATCTGATGTTGCCGCTTCACTTCAATTTCACCCACGCTCCTGTGATTCATATTTTATTTACCAAACCAGTTGATACAAGTAATTCATTCTTTGTGAATTAACTGCAAAACTTTAATGAATCGTCTACAGTGGTGAAGAGAACAGATGAGCAGGTCAAGTAAAACCCAAGAACATCATTTTTTGTTAAAAATGAAAGGGACAAAATTGCACTTGAATAAGTCAATTAGCAAAGCAGCTTATTGTTGAATAGCAGCTGTGCACTAAGATAATGATGATGGTGGTGAGGCAGAGACCAATTTCAGATGTCTCGACAGAGCAAGAAGTTAAATACAGCTAAAAGCACCTGGATGTTATGGTTGTCTGATAATGCAGGTGTTATTGTGGTCCACTGAGGGAAGCAGTGTTTGCAGAGCCTCAGAACAGCAGGGAGGAGGTGTCTCATACTGTATGTGGAGCATCCCGGCACCGAAGGAGCTGCCAACAGCTCTTATGGTTCTGCGCATAGCTAGTTGGCTCATCACTGGCTCATTCAAATCCACATACTTTAGGGGAACCAAAGAGCACTGCAGGACAGAGCCGAACTCACTCATTAGTTAGTCTCACGAGACTAGACCAGTCTAGTCCTCATGACAAAATGTACTTGAGCAAGACACAGAATCCTAATTTTTCCAACGGTTAGGCCAGTGCAGGCAGAATGTCACCCTCCCAAAGTCCAGCAACGGCTCCTCGGTTTTAACATTGAGTTGGAGGCAGGTCCACCTAAGGGTTATGGTTCACAAAATCCTAAATTAGTCTCCCTCTATTCTCGTGCATCCCGGATACAGTAGACACAGCTATGACTGAGTTGTTTGAATGCTTTTGCATGTGTAACCTTCCAGATGTGGAAAGGAGACAGAACGATACATGGCTGGTATGAAAACCTCAGTTTACCAAGCCAGACCAAGATAATGCTGTTTGACCATTAGCATGAATCATCTCAAAATATTTCCTAAGACGAAATAACTAAAAAGAACAGGCATTGGTAAATAGCAGCACTATAACAGCTTGGCTAGACAGCCATACAGGCACCATGACATCGCACACAAGCAGATCTGTGGGTAAGCAATAAAAAACCCCATAACAAATGAATGCCTATAATGAACTGTATTGGTTTTCTAGCCTTTTCACCTTGACAGGCACCTCAGCAAAACTCAAAGTGTTCTGAGATAAACAGCCAGCAGCATCAGCAGTCTTATACATAGCTTGTATTGACATTTGCCAAGTACACAAACACCCAGCTGAACTGAGCCAAGACATCCAGGCAAGCACCAATTTCTTAATTTGGTTCAGCGCTGACAATGGTGATACATACGGTGCATGAAACAATTTGTGAGATTTACAATGATCCCAAGCCTCCGACAACACAGGCAGACTTCTGACTTGAAGTGTGAGTGTGTGGGCTACCACTAATATCCAATCAGTCATTGCTCAGAGTCGCAGAATACTGTCAGCAGCAGTGAATGTGGAGCGCACACACATGATTATGTCCATCATAACTCTGTTCAGAAGTGGCATGATCAGAATGTTGGCATGCTTATTAAAATCTATTCAAAGCATCAGCAGCTAGGTGAAGGACAAATAATTAGGAGAGCAAGACAGCTTCAACAGACCACCTAAAGGTGCATTGCATATATTGTAGATAATGACATACTGGTTAGGTATAAGCTTCACTTGAATCGTCTGCCTGAAGCTTACAGGCTTTCCATGAAAGGAACGATGTTTTTTTTGTCAGATGATGCAGTTGTGTTTTTTTACTATGTCTCTTGTTTGCACTATACTGTATGCTGCTGTAATCCTGTAAATGTCCCCGCTGCGGGACTAATAAAGGATTATCTTATCTTATCTTATGTTGTTATATAAAATGTGCTGCATCTCTTACCTAGCAGTTAGCAATTTCATTATTGCCAAAACCCAACACCCAAGTTCAACCTGAGGATGCAGGACGGTGTTTTATATAGTATTTACACATGACTTGAACCCACGTTCAATATATGATACACAGAGTTTGCACAAATAGCCGCAAAGCTTATAAGAGTCTTCATTCTCAAATCAAAACACATTATCTCTGTCTACACAGTATTCACAAGGCGAAAGTCATCAGTGGAACGGAAAGCATTAAGCCAGAGCATCTCAGCAACCTCAACCCCTCTGACCTGCAGTTTTTAACATATTTAACAATATAGAAACGTTTGTCCTCCTGTTGCATAAGTTACATAATACGATAATTAACTGAAAAACAAAACAAAAAGGAGAGAATGGTGAGACACATTTCATCTGTGTCCAATGTCAGCGCATCACCCACACACAAACAACGCCACCTGTCTTGTAACCTTATAGATTGCTCTGTCACTCACACACACACGCACACACACACACACACACACACACACACACACACACACACACACACACACACACACTCACACAAACCTCCCACCACACACAACATATGGTAGAGGAGCCTCGGAGGTGGGCAGGAAGGGTGTTTCTCAAAAGGACAGGGCCACTCTGGATAGAGTGGAGGCCAGGCGCTAATAGAATGAAAAATAGCAATCTGACTGGCACAGTGTCTGACAGTCAAGACAGTTCTGTTACATTATTTGGAAATAGTGCATATATCTCTTGATATCTCAGCATTTGGTGGCAAACACTAGTTTCAACGTCTCCTGTAATTATAGATTTGATTTGCCTTGCTATGCCTTGACATCTGTGAGCACTCTCTGTAGCACTCTCACAGGGCATCCTGTATTTAAATAAGGGCTACATATAGCTGCACTGTAAAAATCTATCTGTCAAGATCCATTACTTTATCAGCATTTGGATATTTGCTGTTATTTTTGTATGAATTTAATTCTCAGGGTATGGACAAAAGTTTTTTTGCACACCAGAAAGTTTTACTGACAGACACATGTGCTGTAATTGAAGAAACTAAACATCCTGCACACCCTCGCTCACTTATAATCACTTAGAACTTGAATGAAGTGAAATATTCTAAACATGTCACTTCTCACACGGAAGTAGACCACGGAGATAAGAAATAAAGATGCCCTAGTGTGACTATATTAAAATAGAGGTTTTACAAGTCCAAGTATTTCTCAACAGGCGTAACAGACATGTTTTGTCAAACTGGCCTTAAACAAGACGGTTCCTCTTACTCTTCTTCTTCACTTCTACTTTCAGAACATCCAGCTGTTTTTCTGGAACGCTGTGGGTCTGCTTAGCTCACATAATTGTCATAGAAAGACAGATTATGATGTGTTTTTAACGCATTTTCAGCACGTTTTACATTTAATGTTACAAGAGAAAAGTCTTGTAATGGCTTGTGGAGTGACAGGCCTGCTGTCCTGATTACAGTTGCAAATCGGTTATGAAACAATTGCTGTACTGAAAAGGATATGAGGTTTATGGAAAACGCTCCATTGAAAGACAGTTCTTTAATTATCCTTTTCCACAGGTACACTGGGTGAGGGAGCCCAAGAGATCCACAATGACAGGCTCTCAGTGAGGTGATACATGAATTATTCATCTTGATAACACTTGTTTTTGATCGTCTTTTACCAATGCAGAAAATCTTACCTCATTAACAACGTGTTTAAAGTTTACTTTATGGCCCAACTCCTACACAGTCTGTTCTACATCGTGGCCATTTTCGCTCGTTATTTTCATGGGGGCACTTTCTCTTTCTCTCTATCTCCCTCTCTATCTCTCTCCCTATCTTACCTGCTCACTCAACCATGAGATGAGAGGATGAGTTGTGGTGCACTGTAAATTTCATCTCTGTTAAGCCAGATCACCTCTGGCCGTGGCTCGAGGGGAAACATCTGCTGGTGGTAGCGAGGCCACACTTTGGTGAGAGAATAGTTCACAGTGGGCGATGAAAGAGCAAGTGTTTGTGAGAGAGGAGGAGGTCTATTAGGAATGTGAATATTCTTTATTACGCTGCATCCTGAGAGAGACCAAATGAAGTACGACAGGCTAAATGTATGAGGTCTGAGAAGTGACGTGCACCGGCTGAAGGAGAAAGCAGGTTTTTTTAAGACCCTGTCGAGAAGTCGCTTGTGACCATCCAGGACTTTCCTTGTTAAACACAACAGCAATGCCTGTAGAACCAGAGTAGAGGTCATACTGTAGTATTGTTCCACCCACACCTCGGACAGATGTACTTCACTTTAAATGGCCAATTTGATAATGTTAACAATGAGGCCTTGTCCACCCTCAGGATAAATCCACGAGGGCTTTGACAACAGATAGCTCCAATTTCAATAGCGAGGGTTATTGCGGGGCATTACTACGGGGGCCATATCGACCTTGTTAGTGGGCACTTAACCATCTGTACACAAATCTCCACTACAACACAGTGGGATATTTTCCGCACAGCCGTGCCTCATCTCCACACTGACCTCTACAAACTTAAGTGTCCTTTCAAGCCCATTCAAGCATACAGGCGGCATTCATAAAACACTTCCCCTATTTAAACCATAACCCCATGAGAGGTGTGCGGTCGCAGAACATTCATAGCTACGTACGGATGAAACCCGACTATGGAATATCAAATGCTCCCATCTGTCCACTTCTCACTCTCTGCCCCCCCACCCCCCGTCTTTTTGTCACTTGACACCGCCCTGTTTTAATGTCAAGGAAAGGGCATGTCTTGTAAGGAAAATGATTTGGTCCGACTGAAGACACTAGAAAATGAACAGGTCAACCAGGAGTCCCACTGGCAGATGGGTGATAAACCGTATCATTGAAATGTGAGGAGAATGAAACGACTCCACTGTGTATTTACGCGACAGCATTGGGCAGCAAGACAACCGGGGCTGGAGGGCAATATTTTCCAAAACCATACTGGAGATGTATAACACATTCAAATGCAAAACTACAGCTTGCACCATGGAAACTATTAGAATTATGCAATATCATTTGTCTACATTTAGCATGGCCCCCCTATTACATATACTATGGTGGTGAAAATGAGCGGATTCAGAGTGTAGAATGCCCTCATCTGCATTCATTAAATGTGCCCCTGGAAACAATCAAGTCTGGGAAGAAGCGACTTGAGAACAATGTAGATGGATGATGAGGTGGACCTTGTTTGCTGTGACTCCATATGGAAACTATAATACAATGAGCAAGTGTTGGACACCAATACATCCAAACAATTGCTCCAAATGTCTGTTAAGAACTCCCACTTTAAAGACAGACTGCTAACATAGACATCAGCATGCCGTCACATTAAGAGTTACCTTCCACAATGTATCTACCTATTGTACTGTACAGGCTGCTATGGATTTACAAGGACTGGTGCACACCTTACCTGATTTTTCAAATCCAGCTTGGGGCATGGGCGTCCTCCATTGAAAGATTTCTCCCTGAGCCACTTGGACCTGATCTTCAACCCACTGCCACAGGATGCACTGCAGGCTGACCAGGCTGACCAGTCACTGAGCTTACAGTCTAGGGGGCAAGGGATGTGGCAAACCTCCACCATGTAGCCTGAAATCGAACATTGGCAGACGGGAGGGAGAGGCCTCATTCAGACTTGCTCAGCGGCTGCAGCAAGGATCACAATAATAATGTCCGACAGACATGCCACTGGCTTACACTCCGCCAGACCTCGGACTTGCTTACTTTGACACTAAGACGTAATTATCGAACTAATGAGCGTCTCCTTCTGTGCTATCTTGGCATAGTAAAACTGTTTAATGGTTTTCACACTGTATACTTTTTGTTTGTTTTTGTGCTGTCTCTTAGCTGTGTTTTACACTGAAACATGTAAGAAATATATAGAAATTAAACATTTAAAATAACCAGCTACAACATGGCATTACATGACATAATTAGGGTTTCACCTATATACTAATTTCTGTGATTCCTACCTGAGTCTGTGCAGCGGGTGGGGTTGACCAGGTGTCCCTGCTGGTCAATGCAGGCCACTGCTCTGTAGCGCAGACCTTGGCCACACTCTTTCACCTCCCGGTGGCTCATCCAGCCCTGCAGCGACCCCGGAGCTGAAAGATCATGGAGGATGCATGCAGACCAGTTCCCATAGGGCTGGGACAAGAACTCATCACAGGGACACATCTCTGTCTCCTCCAGCGGGTACAGCTCCTTATTCAGGCAATGCTCCTTCTTTTTACTGCGACCTGAGGAGAAGATGGACAAAACAATGGAGAACTTCTGTGCCCTGGATGGGTGATGAACGCTGAATGAATAGAGCACAAATGGGCTAACTTGTTCCCGTGTCGGAATAAAGTATGAGCTACAGAATGGATAAATATATTCATTGTTCCAATTAAATATTAGTTCATATAGTGCCAAAAAATGTATTAATTAATTTTGTTCATTTATCTTTGATCATTCAAAATACTACAATGCCAGCAGGTCAGTGAACTAGCCAGTAAGTAAACTATAAACTCAGCATACATTGTTTACTTGTATCATTGTGATGTCAGTGTCAGCCGCCATATACAGGCACCAGCAGTCCATCATTCACCTTGATAATATCAGTGGATCGTAGCCCACTGCAGAATGAGCAAAGCTTGATGAGCTTTATCAATACTGCACACACAAATGAATGATGAGCGAGGTAAGCTGACCCATTCTTATAGGGTCGTTTTTTTAATCAAATCATATCAAAGACAAATCTGTAAAAATACAGGTTGTCAAACAGAACAGTGAAAAAAAGGTCTTGCCTTTCTAAAAAAAAGTAAGTATTATGAATGGCAAATATGACATTTTCAGTAGCAATAGCAACACAGTTGAACATAATTGTTTTTCCACCTGGTTCCATCACAGGCATAATCAAATACACAGCTCCTTCTAAACTTCTAAATTTCTGGTTACATAACACGCATTGTAGCCACAGCACTGTATGGAGGTTGGATTCATTGCATTGCATTCATTCATCTTCCCTGATATTATTTTATTTAGAGGAAATTATCATAACAAATTAATAGCTAATCAGTCAAAAGTGCTCTACCATATGACCAGTGGCAAGGAAACCCTTCTGCCTGTAATGCATATTCAAATAGCACTCTAAATGACCCCCAGGAGTAATTATTTAAAAGCATATTAAACTTTAATTTTTCTCTTTATTTTGAAGCCCCTTAAGGGAATAGTACACACTTAATGTCTTTATTACGTCACTGCAGCTAAACTCTCTGAAGGTTAGACCTGAGTAATTGTTTTGCTACAAGAAACAACACATTCTGTGCAAGTAGAATACAAAATACAAATAAGATTATTGTGTTATTCAACTAGAAAACAATTCTATATTTCTAATCATTTGTATAATCATCGTATGTCATTTGTATGCAAATGCAGCATATTTAGGCTTGGCACGTACAGTGCAGCCATTGTGTGCTACCATGAAGACCCAAAAGAGTAAAAAACTGCTGCAGCTGAGTGTTCTCCCACTGAGGAGGAAACACAAGAAAGAAAAGCTCTTTCCTTTCTTGCCTTTTGTCTTCAGATGCACATTTATTCCCTCCCTTTCTTTTACATCCATGACTTCTCCCCAGCACACAGTGGTTGCTGTTCAATAGTAATGATAAACAGTGCACAGAGAGCTTTTTGATTCAAGGGGTTGACGACGGTGGAGAAACAGCAGACGACGCAGCGCTGCACAGATATCACAGTTATATCATTAGTCAGTAATGTTCAGTTCAGGATGTGTGATCAAGTGCTGTGATTCTCTTTTGGGTGTACTCGCTTTCCCTCAGTCTCTCTCGTCTTCTTTTATATCACTGAATAATTTCATGTATTTCCCATAACCCCTAGCAACTGCACTCCAACAGAGCAAGAGTTTTTATTCTTATTTTTTATTAATTTGCAATACTCACCCTTAAAATCCACAAAACATGATCTGCTGGTGCTTCTTTTGATGGAGGATTTGGTACCAAATATTAGAAAATGGAAGGAAAGATGCACCGTGGACAGACAGCAATTGTTTCAGCATGGATTTCCAATATATACCTCAAAACACGAGCTTTTGTCTAATGAGGGGGAAAATTAATTTTGAATTCCAAAGACCTCCATTAAGACCTCCATTAAGACTAATAGAGGTAACCACTCAATACAGTTCACTTCAGGCTTCAAATAACTAGTCCTGTCCATTATCTCTGATGAGTATTAATAGATGAGCATGAGCAGGAAAGTAATTGTATGGCAGCTGAAAGGCATGTGTTCCGCTCCGACTCTGTCACTTTTAATATCAGGACAAGTAACAGATACAAACTGTCAAGCTGTCTAACTGCTAAAAAAAAAAATCGTTCTCATGATTGACTGTCTGCTCTGCATTGTTGAATAGTGTTGTATAAGAGAGCTATGGGTCTTGTTCTGTTCTCAGCAGCCATCGATGTGCTGCTGACATCAACATGTTAGCGTTGCTATAGTGCATTGTTTAAAAACAAAAAAGAAAGACGGAGTATTTTACCGTCGACGGGGCTTGATGTACATGTCATCACTAACCAAATAAAGCATTTGATGGGAATCACTGGCCCCTATGCACGATTTGCATTCAGCCATAATAAAGAGAGACGATCCAAGCAAATGCAACCGTCTCGACTGGAGTTTAGCAGAAGCTTTTGACATATCTATCATATTTTTAATGCTGAATGCAATTGATATGTTCAAATTCTGTGTTTCCCCTTAAACTGTTCTATTGACTGGATGGAAATGTTTGTGAAATAGTATTTAGATGATCATGAGCGACAAACACTGTCCCTTGAATAGTAGACTCAGTGGTGTTGTTGATATATTACATCTATCATCAGACCCCCAAACTACAAAAAAAAAATGAATGAATAAATGAAATTAATAAAATAAATTGTGAAAGTGTAAAAGGGTTCAAAACATTATGATGGAAGTTTATGATAGCCATTCCCATTTGCACTTATGTCTCATAAGTTGTTTCAGCAATTTTGGGGTTGATACCATTTGTGACACAGATTTGATTCCACAAGAGTCTCAGCTTTCCAGTCATACCCAATTTATTTGATCCATTCCAAGAGTATTTAGGGACTCCAGTATGCAAAAATATTCAAATATACCATTTTTAGAATTGGCAAAAATAACACATTGATACTGCATCCAAAATGTGATGGGGGAATGTCTGTGAAGGGGAGACTTTTGGGTACCAATAGAACCCCAAAGTTCTATTTCCCTCAACACAATTTAGCTTAATTTAGGAGCGTAATTCATTCCCCTTCCCAACAAGCTAGCATGACATGGAACCAATGGATTCATTAGGTCGTCTAGTTTCATATGATGTCAGCGTCTTCTCTTGAGATTTAATACTGCCGGTCTCCGAGGATTAAAGTAAATACTCTTGACACTGCAAAATAAAAGGGCTACAGAAATCCTTGACCTAAGCCAGATGGAGAGAGCGAAAGACACTCACATCTAACACACAGATAAAAACAAACACAAGGCCTGGTGAAAGAGTTGCTCTGCAGTTTAGCTAATTCTGCTTTATTCATGCACCCCTATTTGTTTCATGGGCCCTGGGTGTCCTCGGCCTCCTGTGTGCCCAGTGAGCAGCCCATCTGTTTCTGTAGTGGGTCTGATTGCAAACATTCTTCACCAAGTGTGAACTCACTGCCATCACATGGCAATTCACCAACAATCTGTTCAATCTACGCCACTGCTGGTGGTTGATTGTCGAGTGCCAGTGCAACATCACTTCACTTTGACAACTACATTACTGGCAACAGCAACACTTAGACCAACAGGCACCACAAATATCTGCATTTAGGACTGCAATATCCAACTTCTTATAGCATTATGCATTTTTCATTCAACGTAATTTTCCAAACTTTCTTTGTATGATATTTGTTGAGAGGATGCTCCAATCGGAGCCATACTACTGTGCAGTCTTCTTTGTCCCTGTAACACTGCCAGGAGTGTGCTGAACAGCATCTGCAGTGAGGTGAAGTATCTGCTGTGGAATAGCAAGCCCACGTATGAATTAGCTTGATAAAGATGTCAATCGATAGATAATAGACGACTGATGTCCCCTTCAGATAAATGTCAACAAAAACCTTTCCTCCACAGAACTGACTAAAAAACACACAACTGATGTTCTAATACGTTCATGCAGAATCATGCTGCATTTTTCATCTGCAATTCTTAGTTTCAATAGTTGGTAGGAATGATTCATGAGCATCTTTTTATGGATTTCAATCTCACAGTGATAACTGAGCACCTGTGAAGGCTTCTGACTGTATGAGGCTACTACCTACAAACCAAAAGAAACAACTCTTCCAACAATTAAAAGAGATTATCTCAGGGTAGTTATAATGTGTATTAATATTGTTAACGCTGCATAACTGATATATTCTTCGACTTTATATTGCTACATATATTTTCAATGCATAACAATTTATATGGCTCAGAAGTCAACAGTCCCAGAACAGTCGTGTCATAAAAGAACAAGTATCTCTATTCTATTGTAGCCCAGCTCTCCAATAACATAATATCTGATAGATAAACCACTAGACTGTGAAATATAGGTGCATAATAAATCCCATACAAACCCTCTCCCTGCACTCCAGCCTGGTGCTATATCTTCAGTTGTTGTAACTTTTCTCCCTCAACTAACTTGGAGGTTTGAGTAGATGTCAACCAATCAAGCACTCAATTAATCATTTATATGGCCCATTTAATAACATGAAATGAAATATAACTAAGTACATTTAATCAATTACATGAAATAAAAGCAGAGAATAATTGCATACTATCAGACAACTGAAGAGGAGAGAACTAAAGACATAAAGTAGGGAATACACTAGAGCAAAAGATAAAACTGAGCCATAAAATAAAATAAAATAAAATAAATTCTGTTCCCTATGGCAGATTGACCATTAGAAATACAGCATTTCTATAAAAGGCAAAGCTAAAATGATACCCATGAGGCACTTAAAAGCTTATTCTGAAAAAGAAGAGAGTCAGAGCAGTTTTGAATGGCTCAGTAACAAAGCTGGATAGTGTAGCTAACCCATTTATCTGCAGTTAAGCTCTTACAGATACACACACAACCCTGCTCTCTGATCTGTGGCAGAAATAATTCACAGAACTTAACGCTCGAATGCCCATACAACATTCAACATGCTGGCTGAGGAGAATAAATTAGCTACTCAACTCAATACTTTACCAATAAAGCGATGGGAAAAAAACAAAACAAACATTTTCCACTCAAATCAAGCCGTCCTTTATTCTGACGGGAGACAGATTCTGATTACAGCAGCATCTGTGTGAATGTGTACCATTTAAACATCAATAAATCATTATTCTATTAATGTTGAGACATTAGTATTATCAATGTAAACAAACTAGAAGACTGGCATCCTCAATGCCGTTTTTTCAGAGTAAACAGAGCTTTCAGAGCTCTTGACGAGGAGTGACATCGTAATTGCAACAGGAACCAGCAGTATTTACTGAAAATGAGATCTTAATTTTATGTTTTGCAGATACATGGTAAAGAAGTTTTCCATCTTCACACATCCCGGTGTCATTTATCCTATTCATAATAAGTATATTGACAAATCAGTATCAGTTGATGAAAGATGATACATCATTTTTTTATAATGTCGCTTGCAGCATGGATGCAAATCCTCTGCCAGGGATGATATTAATCAAGAAAGGCTGTGATTGCCACTGTGACTCAGAAGGCTGCACATCCAGCGTGACCACACAACCATAGGGTTAAACCCAGGTGAACTGATAAGCCCAGTCCACTGCTTGCCAGCCGAAAAGAAAGAAGACAGTGATAACTTGGGCCTGCTACACAGTATCCGAGAACATACAGGGCAAAGAGGCGATAGAGGTGCACGGATGGTGTGTATTGTGGAGACGTTACCAGTCTATCGGTAGACAGACACAGACAGACATTTTCGCACCTATAGGCAATATAGAATAATCAGTTCACCTTATCGGCATGTCTTTAGACTGTGGGTCGCAATAGGAGCACCTGGAGGAGACCTGCGTGGGATAAACATGTAACTTCCTCGCAGAACGGCAGCAGCAGCACCGCGGATTCTAGAACATTCTTGCTTTAAAGCCACAATGCTAACTCCTGAGCCACCCAGGCGGCGCTCATATAGATAGAATGTCACATATACAGTTGTGCTCCTATTCATGCCAATAGACCAACAAAAAGCCAAACAATCACTTGGGCTTCTGAGTGTGACATTAAACATCAGAGGCGTAACATCAAAAAAGTAAAGTACAAATCCGATGATTTGTGTGTGTGTGTGTGTGTGTGTGAAAGGGAGGGGTTAGGTCGGGGTGTCAGAAGCTGACAAAAAGTAAACCGTAGCGCAGTGCTGAGGCGTGGCTGCTCATTTTATGTGGTTTTCCTTTTTGTTTGTAAACACACCATTGTTATGGGTAATAAGTGGCATGATACAAGGGAGGCTGTTGAATTATGACAAGATGAAAATTATACATAAACCGGGGAACGTCTGTCACAAAGTGACTTACAAAAACAAGATAATTATAGCCCTTGTGTACTTTGTCGTGCATGAACAATTTTCCAACTCAATTTCCATGTATTAGCGACAGGGCTGCTGTGTTTATAGCGTTCACCGTATTCGCCAATGTTTTCTGCATGAATTCAGTCGTAGCATAGGAAATCCAAGAGACATGATGCACTACAACTGAACAGCATTTTGTTAAACAGCCTTTTGGACCGTCAAAATTACTTTTGGTTTCGACACGCAGAGCATACTGCAATATGGCTCAAGAAGGCTTTTCAACATAGCTGTATCATCTAAGGAGATGTTTTGGAAAGCTGCCAACTCCCTCAACAGCATCCTTAAGCTTAAAACCCACAGTGGATTCGCTTTACATCAATTTACCTGATTTTTAAGAAAGTGTTAAAGTCGATATACTGAGCCTTAATCACCATTACGGCCACACTCTTTCCAAATAAAACCCAGCACAAAGCCTGGGCTGATTCCACGTGTTGGATTCTTAGAGCATTATAGAAGAAGACAGGATATGTTTACTACAACCCCTCCGGCATCGGATCAAATATTCATGAAGACAAATAGTATCCAGCCTGGTCTGCAACCACAGCATGTAATTCAGATTTGCCATCTGCACTGAAATAAGAGATTGCAAGCTGTGAGAAACCTAATTTAGACCTGACATACAGTGGAAAGTTACAGTAACAGCCACAACGAGAAAAGAGGTGTGCCAAGCCACATAAACTTTACAGCAAACAAAGTATCTGCTGCCATTGACAACAACCCTGAAGATCAAGGGATGTAGTTGATTTGTACGAGGTTACTACTTCATGTTGTGGTTCATACAAGTATTTGACGTGTTGGGAATGATGATGTGTTGTTCTAGTGAAGCATTGACCCTTTGTTTGCTTGTGAATTTGAAGTACTGAGTTGATCTCTCAGGGCCATCGTAGAGAACGCTTGACCTAAGAATCCAACCTTTCCACTGGTGAAGATGAAACGGTTTGCTTGAGTGATATCTGTGTCTCCCAATCTGTTGAAGAAAGGTGGAAACTTTACCTGTGAGCACGCGATTGCGACTGCGGGAGCTGCCGCATCCAGCGCAGTCAGAAAACTTGGACCAAGCAGTTAGAGTGCAGTCATCCTTGCAAGCCACCCGACACTCTCTGATCTGAGGGGGCAAGGGGCCAGCCCATCGCAGGCACTCTGTCATATTGGCCGACTCTCCGCTCTCGCCAACACAACTGACTCCTGCAAACACAGAGGGAGGCAAGAATGTCACTCCAATTATACAGACAGTGCACACACAACGGATCACATCGCACCCAAGCTGACACCGAGTCATTGGTATTGTTTTAAAACTCCCTGCATATAATTTCTTAGCTTATCCGTGAGAGAATAAGCCTGATTTTAGCATTCGGTCACATTCACATACACAGTTTGATTGAGCAGCAACTGGAAGGGACAGGTCTACTGATATATGTTATGGTTGCTTGAATGGCCTCACAAAGAAAAGGTATTTAGAGAATTGTCACTGCGTAAGTCGTAGCTATAAAAAGCAGCGCAGCGTTCATGTTAAGATCTAGGGAAATGCTAATTCAACCTTCAAGCACAACACCCTTATCAGACTTCTTCAGACAACTGTGATTTATTGAATAAAAACAAGGCATTCATAATAACAGATAAACATAAAGGCTAAATACTTTTGATCAGAGTATCTGTATCTGATCAAAGAGGGATGGAGATATCACAACCAGGTACTGTAGCTGCAACATGTGCCTGTGTGCACTGAGAATAAGCACTTAGAACACACATCAAGACCAGATGGGTTATTTCTGTTCCTAAACACCTGATGTAGCACTCAATTAACCGGAAACAGACTTTCAGTCCAATGTGGCTGCTTTAGATTACTTTGGAAAATACCCCTGGACACGTTTTTGGTAATTCTTTGATATCTCTTCCCTCAAAATGAAAACTGTCAAAGACTTAAGGCTGCTTTGTCAGAAAAATATAGAGCAAGCCGTGGTTAAGGGAAAGAATATACACTTTAAAGTCAACTGAGAACAGGAGGATCAATATAAGAGGTGCAGCCAAACCGCTAATAAAGCAAAAGCTTGCCTTGAAAACATGAACTTTTTCCTTTTTTTTTAAACAATAAACATTTCAAAGTGAGTCTTTCAAAACCAAGAGAACACGTTATCCTCTGATGAATGATCTAATCTGGAGCGACATGCTTCATCACTTTTGTTGAAATCAAACCGGTTAAATATCCTTTCAGAGATGGAAATTCAGACCTTTGTGTTTGCAACTTGCATGTTATGGTGAAGTCATCAGGAAGCACAACTTATTAAATGTTGAAACACAGTGCAAACGCATTATTATTTTTTGTCAAACTACGACTGGCGTTTGAGACATCAAATGGGAGGTTGTGCTTGATTGAAAATTGGGTGTATTAACACACTAGAAAACAAAAAGTATATGTATTGCTCAATATCCCGGCATTGTAATCACAGCCGGTTTAATAAGTAACAAAAAATGCATCAAAGAACAAATGTTTATACGTTCACACAAATCCACATCTTGAAGCAAAAACATTGTACAGTACCAGTGTCACAGGAACCCGCATTCTTAGGGTAAAAGAATACTTTCCCTAATTACCAACAAAGTATTTCAGTCTGCATGGTACCTGGTGTCAGGGATACGTATTGAGTAAATAAAGCAACATAAATGGGGAACCTTAAAAATAGTGATGTGAGAGACTAATGCAAGTTAACGTCTTTGAAGATTCACTGATATAAAAACATGCCATTAATCCTTTTGACTGATTTCTATTTGACTTTTAAATTTTGCCCTCTGACAAAAACTGTTCGGTTTCCACATGTCTGCGGAGAATGTGTGGGATGGTCATTTACATACAAGGCCTCGACAAAGACATCGCAAGGGAGATGATAGCTGTTATTAAAGTGTGTTTATGTAACATTCACAATCACAGCGATAGATAAACAAACCTTTTATTTTGCAATGTACCCGTTTAGGTTAAAGAGCAATGATATTATGAGGTGATTCTTATTTTCCCTTTAATAAAACTGTTTGATAAACAACTAACCATTAACAGCTGTTACAGTTTTCGTCCAATTAGCCTCCCACTGAGGGAATAATTCCGCGTTCCTGTTGGCATTTAATTCTGTCCATTTACTTTGAATGGTGTTCTCTCCCAACCTCTTTCTGTCATCCCCAGCACCTTATATTAGCAATGCCCAGTACTGACATTCGGATTTTGAACTGGGAGCCATCCTTTTTTAACATAATTATTTCAGCCTCCGGTTGCCAAAGCCGAATTGCGTGGCCTCTCACATCATCTCTTCTCGCAAATGTTAGCAATTTTAGTCACAGTATCTCCGCCACTGACAGGGATCCTCTTTAATTATACACTTAGAAAGGTGAACACTTTTGAGGGGCAGTTGAAAGGACGAGCTTTGAAGAGTATTGTCGCTGTCCAGATTCATAAAATATATTCTGTGGCAATGTTGTACACTTTGAGAACACCCCCTTAAAAAAAGAACATGTCACATTTCCTAGCATTACTTTTTATGTTGATTCAGTCATACGCCTCGTATAATGTTATTCTATGTCGTGCCTTATGAAGAGTAGTGTGGATTGGATTCATCTTAACCATCAAGTCACAGTTTTCCTGAAGCAAAAGATCATCAACATGACTCAATTTCTATTGAATCATTTCTCCAACCAGTTCCAGTTCCACTCAATTTCTATTGAATCATTTCTCCAACCAGTTCCAGTTCCACTCCGGGAAGGCCACATGTTGCCTGAATTTAGACACAGTGTGTTGTAGCTATAGTGTGAAATACATTGGCTCATTGCCTTCTGCAAGTTATCGGGCACAACTTTATACGGGCTTTCGGGGTCGCCGGTTCTATTTTGTGGAAGGTTAATATTCATCTGCTCAAATCTCATCTTACTTAGTAGCACATCTTATCTGTGACCTCCGGCATGCCAGGTCAGCGTATGTCTAACAACCCTCACCTCACTCGGTCAGACATTTGCATTCATTCAACATGCAGCCTTGTATTAGACACACGCTGAGATGGGAGGAAGCATTTACCCAAGCCAAGGAATAATGTCTTTGTTAACCATAAAACCCAATAGCATGCTTGTTTCTGTTTGATTCTAACTCTACAGCACATACATGCCTGAGCCAATGTATCCAGAAATCTGACTGGTCCTTCCTGGGCTGACTTTAATCCCTTGTTGGTAATTGAACTGTTCTGTAACTGCTGTTTAAATGTTTAATCATCACTAGACAGTGGCCATCTACTGCACCACTTCCCCAGGGCTGCACAGTATTTCTACTAAAGCTTCCAATTTCCAAATAACACTTCTGTTCAGTAATTCTCCCAGGAGAGCCAACCTGGCAACCACAATGATGCTGACCTCGAGGAAAACAAAATATTTTTCTACAGTGGCTGTGTGCCTTGCGTTGCTTCTCAGTTAGTGTTAGTTCGGCCAAAACGTCACCGATGAACGTCACCGTGTTGGGTGATTTACAAAGCTAGCAATTTACAAAGCTATTCTATATTAAAATGCATAATTTTATTGACCAGTTACAATCATGACATGCAGCAAAATATGGCACTGAATAAACTAAATTCGATTCATAACTTATTTTAGTCATGACAGCTGACAATGACATTTTCCCCCCTTTTTTTTTGTCATGTTATGTGTTTTTGTTATATAATTGGGAAAGTGGTTTAAATGGCTTTAAAACTATTAAATATTAAATTACATATACTGTATGTCAATTTAAGTTTATAGACTTAGACAGAAGACGTGACCTATGCAGAGGTGACCTATATATTTTGCAGTGGAACCGGATGAATGTCTGACATGATAATGCTGCACAAGCTTGTTCATATTCAGCTTCTCAATGACGAGAGATATTTGAAGTAGGTACCATCTCGCGCACCCTTCCCACAGGATGCGCATGCTGAAACTACAGTTGAATATCAACTGCATGGGAAATGACACGGTGTTGAATATTGTGAGCGTTACTGAAATTCACGTTGAGGAAATCTGAATTTCAAACAGCAAAACAGAAAATCAAGAGCTGTTCCAAAATGAATAAAGCAATCTGACTTCATCACGTGGAAACCGCAGAAGTAATTACATGAACACAATAAAAGAAAATAAAGCTGCATCTTAATGATGTCATCAGTAGTGATATTCGGTTGTGAATGAGATTGTTTTTTACTTTCTGGGGGTGAGTGGTAGCATATAAAGAGCTCTTTTGGGACAATGCAGCTTCTTTAAAAGGTCCTTGAACAACCTAATTGAGAAACTCCTGCTGAAACTTGCTGTCATTAAATCTTTGATACGCTCTCATCCAATGGCCCCATGCCCTTAATATGGGCATATTCCCAATTATTGTGTCCTAAATATACCCCAATGTGACATTTATATGTCCTTTTCATTGAGTTGGTTCAGGCATTCACTGAGTAGAAGTAGACCCAGGATGAATTCTTTGTTGCTTCAAATCTATATTTAAATCCAGTGTTTCGACAGACTGCAAATTCCAAACCGACACTTTTCTGAAATGTCACAGGTATTTAACTCAATTATTTTCTAATCATATTCAAATAGGAAGCTCTAAAGGTCAATGAGGCTTGCTCTTAACCTGGGAAAACTACAGACACTTTCCCCATCCTCACCAAAAAAAGTCATAGAAATCCACTTGAGAAATGTCAGTCATAATTATGCTGCCGAGTAAAAGTGAGCAACGGCGAGAGCAGACATGCTGGAAAGTTCTCAAGGCGGCACACAGAAAGCCACTGAAAACTTCACTTGAATCACATCAGTAAATTAGATGGAACAGCCAGTTCCTGGGATTTATTGGGACATTTACACTCCTCTAAACGAGTCAGAAATGATCCAATTAACACTCTGGCTCTTTAACGATTTGGGCCAGTGGCAGTCTACACTCAGAGAAATGCGGCGGCTCGTGAAGGAGAGTAAACAGGAATCTGCACAGTCCAGAAAACGCACAACACATTCACACACATCCCGAGCACAATCAATTAGGACACACTACAATACTTGTGATTTGCTGCCAACAGAAATGATTATATCATGATGCAGGCAATTTGTAAGAAATTGCCTGTATCATGATATAATCATTTCTCAACATCAACAACATATTACAATGTGTTATATGACTAAAAATATCCCCATAATGCAAAACCTATCTATATTTTTTCATAAAGCAGAAATCGTGTCATTAGTTTCACCCACAGTTTTACAGACATAAAGACAGTTACATAGATAAAGGAGGGAAGAATAAACCTCTTGAATCTGTTTAGCAGGAAATTAGAATTCGCAAATTATATTTAAATTAAACAGCAATACAAGCCTGTATATCACTGACATTGTCAGATACATTATTTAGTACAGGTGCGGGTTCATCACAACAACAAATTGTGATACCTGTACAGAAATATAATTATTTCAATATATTTTGCAAATCTATGAATGTATTTCTTTTTACAAGGCATACGTGTCAATTTACAAATGCACATGCACCTTATGTGCTAATATTTTGCTGGGAAAACACAGGGAATCGAGAGATATTTACAGTGGAGGCTTTCTTTATTAGTAATGAAAACATTTCTTACAAAATATGTCTAAATATTTGTATCCATTTGGGGGAACAAAGTTGCAATTTAAACCGCTAACAGAAGCTTATTTATGTGAATTAGGAATAATTTCTGTGCATGGCTTTGCTCCTATTGTGTAACATTTTTAATGGATTTCTTCTTCGCAGAGAGTTTATTTACATTATTAATTTGCGTACTATGAATCGTAGCGCTCTCTAAAAGTCAGACTTAACGACAGTCAAGAAGCACTTATTCACAATTTCAACAAAAGACTCTATTGGAAGGAGCTGAACAAGTTTCTAAACGTTATCGTGTGAATCCATTCACAGAAGTCTGTGTATGGTTTGTAACAAGGCTGATTGTTTCTTTCAACCTGCTGCTAAGATGTGTTTGTGGCCATCCGACTGGCTGCATTCATTAATAGGAAACCAGTGCTGTGATGAGACCATCAAGCCAACAGACGGAAAGGTTCATCTCGTTACACTACCTGTACAAATTGCCTCTGACTTTTATGTTTCCATCACTTGCTTGTTAAAGGAGCAGTTCTGAAAGGGCTATTAGGTCCCATTAAACAAGTACAGAGTACATAGATGGAGGAACAAAGCTTAATATGGTGACATCACAGTAGGAGGAGAAAGAAAGAAAGAAAAAACTTGCCTCTTGTTTCTAAACCGTTTCCACAGGCTTCTTCTGGTCCAGACAATCCACGTCGAACAGAATCCGGAACCAAGCTACAGCTGTGCCACTTGTTTGTTCTCCAACTACATGGAAGCACAAAGGGCAGACAGACTTAGGGATTGCTTCTTTCACACAACAGGCAAATGTTTCAACAATGTTATTCTGTGTTTGGTTTGCAATTGGTGATCTGGCACACACGCAGCCAGCATGCAACCTCCATATAGGCAGGACAAACTATAATTTGTCATCACAAATGGCTACATTTTCATCTGATTTAGCTTTTTCTTTCTGCAGCAGTAAAATATTTAACAATAGTAATGTTACAACGTAAGCAGCATGAGAGTATGTGTCAAAATACCATGGTATCTGATGTCAATGCCATTATAAAAGCACACGCAGACATCTCAAGTAATACACAACAATGATGCACCCTTAGGTTACACACAGCCTGTGGTATTATAGAGCAGATGCCTTATCCTTGGACAGGAAAGGAAAATGGTTTCATTCAACTTGGTGTTTTTACCTATACTCTGGACACACAGGAAGTGATTCACACTCTCTCTCTTCAAACAGTGTGTCAGGGCACTCTTGACCTCCATTAGCAGACCTCTGAATGATGGTTCTGTATCTCGACTCCAAGGCGGCAGTTGCATTTTCTGTTGGACATGAAACACAATCTTCACAAAAGGTGGCAGATTAGTTGCACGGTTTTTTAAGTGACTTTTTTTTCCAGGAGCAAGAGAAAGTAAAATGATACTGACACAAATGGCAGATGTCTGGGACACCAAGTAAACAGCGACATGATATCACCATTGCGGTCTAATGTCTCAAAGTTGATCTGATGCTGATTAGCTCGCCCTTGTGGCTGTGATGTCCTCCACTTCACTGCAGTCTGTTTTCGGACACCACCACACTGTAATGGCTTCATTTGGCTCACGCTCCAAGGCTCATTACACAACACTAATTACTAAACACTGAAAATGGTGCAATTAAGAAGGTGATTACATCATCAGCGGACCCAATGGTCTACAGCATATTTACAGAGACGAGATGCCTGCTCGATTCTTTTAAAAACAATTACACACCATTTGATTTCCAAGATACTTACAGTACACATATTCAAAACCATTAAAATTCCATTTTCCTCTTGACGTGTCGGCTTAATGTAATGGACAGTTAACACTGTCATTTACACTTAAATGTAATCATTGAATACACCAGAGACATCAAGGGAGAGCATAATTGTATGGCAACATTTTTGAATATTTAAACAAAGTGTTTGGCACTGTAATACTATAGCATATGTGCCTCGTGTCTCTTGATACTATAACGATACACAACAATTCAATTATTATTGTATTGTGCAACACTGCAACTATTATTTTCATCTTGGATTAATCTACCAATTATGTTCTCAATTTATCAATCAACCGCTATAACATTAGAAAATAATACATTTCCCAAAAAAGCAAATGTAATAGCTTTTTCTCTGCAAAACAGTCTAAAACCAAGAGTCTTTTTGATTCACTCTACCGTTACACGTTGCCAATTTACCTTTACATAAATGTTGCTATTTTACAAAAACCCACGTGCCACTAGTTAGCAATAGTTATAGTTTTTCTAAAAGACTGTGGAGCTAATAGATGGGCATCACTAAATAGAGTTATTGGAAATTCATGAGAAGAGTTACCTGGCACACAGGTTGATGGGCAGGCTGTCCATTCACTGAACGGTGTCACAATGCAGTCTTTTTTGCAGGGGAGCAAACAGGGTCGGACGGTTTCTGGACGAGCAGAATCTGAACACCTAAACAAACAGACAAACAGAGGTCTTAAATTCTCTTCAACCCCCAGGCAAGGAGTGATAAACGTCCAGCGTCTCGCTGTTAACAGGACAGGGCAGTGAAACAACCGCCCTGCCCTTGACATCACACATCTCCCCACAGAAAACATGATTGATTACATGTCCCCCTGCCTGCACGCTCAGGAAAAAAGGGGGACAAATGTAAAAAATGACAGTTTTCTCACACATTCAATTTCTTCCCTGGGTACAAATATTGCTCTATGAAAAGGAACAAAAACACTGCAACTATTCAAGCAGTTTTTTTTACAGTTAAATAATATTTTGGCACTTTTAAAACCCAATTATCTACCCGCAAATCAAAATGTTTTATATCATCAATGGATCAAATACACTATGTGTCATGTGAAAGGGGTTGCTAGTAGTGACAAATCAACCAATAATTATCACCCAGCTCTGCAGTTTTTCTCAGCGCGGAGAGAACACTATTGTATTTTGGATCATTGTTTTGGAATTACACCCCTCAACTCCATTCTCATCAACCTCCTCAGCTGCAAAAGTAATCTTGTTTCAGAGGGAAAAAAAGCTCCGTCAAATCTACCGTACACTACCGGGCCCATTACCAAACAGCAGACAATGTAAGGTGACTAGCTGGTGTAAAGAGCTAAAGAGACAAATCTTTTTATCAGAAGGTGGTGGAGACTAAAATAATAGAATAAACCCAACGAGATGCATCAACTCATCGTTCCCAGAACAAACACCAATCTCGCTGGTATATCTAAATTGTCTGTATGTATCCCAACCAGCATGTTCCCTCGTCTGCCGAATTTTTGCCATTGCTTTAGCGCTTTTCCTGAAAAGAGATTTAAGTTCAGAGTTGATCCAAGGTAAATGTCTGCCTTATGAAGGTCAGCAGAGGACATCTACCACCTTGGTAAATTTAGAGTAGAAAAAAATCCTGGGCATTTTAACCATCAAAAATGTATTTTAATCCATCCCAATTAATGTGTCTGCTAGTTTCATAAGAAAATGATTAGATTGCTAACATACTGTATATCAACTTCATAAGGTAATGATATGTCAATGCAGTGTTTTCAGCTTCTTCCACTGCCCTCGGGTAGCCAGAAATAATCCATAAATGCAGCTTCAAGAATCACTTGCATTTACAAATCAATGACAACATTAAAAATATATAAATAGTTACAGTTCTCTTGCTGTGGAATGACATATATTACATGGGATTACGGATTACGACTACCACATTTATTTCCAGGATTTTAGCTAAAAGTAGGGGCGAATCACACTGCATTTATCACCCAATACACATGTAGAGAGCAGCCGCAGTAGTCTTCATGTTGCTGCCACCAAGGAGACAGAGTGTTCTAGGAGGAAAAATCAATCAAAGTCCACAGCATGGCTGCTAATTAAACCTGAGAAAAGTGAGGATATGCAAACTGTTTACCAATGAATCATTCCTGCCACGCCAAGGACACCATTACCAGGTTTTAAAGAGCAGCCCCTGACTTTTACCAATTTCGTTGTTTTAAGATAGAAAATAACCACGCATTTCCTCTGTATTTAGGCTGCTACATATCTTGTGTAACATATCCGTCATGGAGCCTTTGGCTGTGTTGTATTTTGCTCCTTGCGCAACCTTGAAGTGGTACTGATTAATGCAGCTATGCAAAATCAAATAAGTCATGAGCTTTGATGTCTTTATCAACAAGCTGCCGAACGCCCCATCCTCGACACACAAACACACACACACACACACACACACACACACAGACACACACTGAGACATCCCAATTCCATTTCAGAGCGAGTAACTTCCTTTGCCCGACAACCAGATCCAGGTCTCAGTAGAGATCCAACATGGTGCCACATCCTACCGACTGCAGAAAGCCAGCACGCACAGGACTGAGATCAAAGTATACCAACGCGTAAGGAGGCGAGATACATAAAACCCCATCCTTCCCCTACTTTATCCCTCTTCTTCTGTCTCCCTCTTTGCAGTGATGCATGCCAGAGGGCATTTCAACGCAGCTGAGCAGCTGGGGGAATACTGTGAAGTACGCCATCAGACTACAGTCATGTTCATGGTGTTCCACTGTGACATGGTTTGGAACATTAAATGTCTCTCACACATTGTTGATTATTATAATTGCAATCAAAGACGTAATTCGTCAATTTCATACGATCCAGAGTTGGTTAAATACTTAATATTTCATGGAAAATATGAATATGTAGCATGGAGTGAGTACTTTATTTGTTTACTCTTATTACCACTGCTTTAGTTTGTTAATTGATCTTCAATATGTGTCAAAGGGGAGCGTAAATGAAACTCAAAATCATTCTAGTGTGAGGTCTGAGGGCTCTGTACTAATACCAAGACAGACCCACTAACCTTTCATTGAGCCGGTTTGCACCACGGAGATTATTGCTAAGCAGGAAATGCTTAGATGCTTGCTGACTTAAGTGACACTTCTCAAGTACAACATCAAATATACTCGGGGAGATTTGAAGATATTGAGGACAATCCTGTATTTCAAACATAATCGAAGATGAACAAAGGGTAAAGCAATGGAAATGGCAGTCTGAACTCTTCTATCTAGCTCTATGCTGTCCTGTTTAAGTCTAGGAAACATGCACAGTGTATCTGCCTTCTGAATATTAATCCTATCAAATGAGGCTTGGGATGTTAAGCCAAATCTCTGCTGTTCGAGACAGTAAAACCCTGATCTTGTCTGCACATCATGGAAAGAGAGCAGAAAGGCCCAGCAACTTGTTACTGACAGTCAGAATCAACTGAATAGCATGTGTTTGGTGCTGTTCCATTAAATGAATACACTGCAGTTATAGATGAATAGCAAAGTAATGATTGACTTCACAACTTACTGTACAGGCCAGATCTGTTGTGGAGCAGAAATGACAGCTTTCATTAAAGCCTCTGTGGTGGGAGATAGGACGTTCATAAGAAAAAAGCATCTCCATAATCCACTTTATGGCCCTGTCAATACTATATCGTGCTGGAGAAGGGCAAACTTTGTGAATTATTTATAAATCTATCTTCCCGGTGTGGGGTATAACATCATTACAGTGACAGCACAAAAGCCCTTAGCAGTGTTTGATATTGTATTGCTGAAAGAGGAGTAGATAATGGCGGAGCATAAGCAAAATGAATCTCAGGTTCACAAAAAGAAATACTAAACTCAGGCAGAAAACACTAAAGGATGCTCAATATACTCTGGGGATATAATAAAAGAACAGTAGACCAACTCCTCTGGGTCATTTGTCCGTAAGTGAAAGCACAATACATCTTCAAGTAAAATACTTTTAGGATCTTTAATCATAAGCGATTTTTCTTTAAGAGAAACATGATCACTTCTCACCTCCTCCCCTAGATTTTACAGAGCTATTTTACTCCTCACTGATAATCTCTCATTCGTTTCTCTTGGGACTCATTTTCTAGTATCTACAACTCAGCAAAGTAGCAGGGTCCGATTTAGGGACGGAGGAAGAAAGTATTCTGTTACAAAGTGCCATTCATATACAGGCATAATGACTCAAGAATAGATATTTTAAGGCATATACATGGGATTCAGAGCATTAACATAGAAGCCAAAAGCAATTTGCTTTGTAGAGATAAAGTAGAGTAATGTCTACTTGACCAGAGAAAGTTGTTCCTTCTCTGTATGTGTTGTTATCCGAGCTTCTCCTTGCTTTGTTGACATAGCCTGGTCGGCCGTGGATGATCTTAGTGCATGTGAGCCACCGCTCTGCACTGTGTTCATACGATGGTTACAGCCAATAATACCTAAGACGTTTTTCCCACCCAGTTCCCCCTCAGGTAAACACTGTTAGCTCTGCTGGCACTTTTGCCTTAGTTTGCACTGGTACCACTGTTAGCACCGTTAGCTGCGAGCCGCCGGCTCAGCCATCGCCACGTTGAGTGCCGTTGAGAGGCAATATAAATGCTCCCAATCTCGTAAGAGTAGGGCTATCATAATAAGGTTTGAATATTCATTCTAAACCCCCAAAAAAACCTGGACACGATACACGCTACTGTTTATCTATTTTTGTGCATTATGTCCATGGCACAGTGTTCTGCTTGACCAATCCGCACTGAAAGTGTTGTGAAGTGTCTTTGACATCCTTCACTCGCGCATCCCACAGAACAGATACAGTTCTATTATGTTGAATATATCTACACTGACTCCATGAGACGGAGACCTCCCGCATTTTGTTATGCTTTGAGTGAAGCGTACTCTGCATAAATAACTAAAACACACAAATGCCCCACTGCATACGGTATGTGGTTTGAACTTACTGACCGTATCTATATTGATTGATCAAGGTTCCCAGTTTGTCTGCGAGCTCGTCTGTTTCCCTACAGGCAGATTCCCCTCACTTGCCACTGTGGGCGGGCAAATAAATTTAAATAATCAATATGGGCCTGTGAACGCGGTTGATTTCTTCCCATGACGCAGACATGAATACTATTTTGGTTCAGTAAATGTCTGCTGTCAGTCAGCCTGGTGAAGGCAGGTTAGAGAGCCGCTGTCCACTCAACTCCCCAGGAGATGCTGCTGACAGACGGGCAGAGACATTTACCGAAGACAGAGTCAGTGTCGATTGGATGACAGAACGCTAACACGCCACTCACGCCTAGCTTCCAGTTCGGATTCCCAGTAAAACGTTTCATTTTCAATTAACGCAAATGACGTTGTTTGACTCCCGTCATGCGGTACATTCAATGTGCGCGAGGCAGACAGCCGCGGTTGTGCAGGTTTTTTCACAATGGAATATTATATTTTATATCCGACTATCTGTTGTCTCTTTTCTTTGACTATTCCAATACATATTCCAATACATATTCATATTCTAATCCAATTAGGGAAAACACTGTTGGGGGATGAAACATATGCTCTTCTTTTCTTTACTTATCACTTCACTATAAACTAACCTGATACATCAGCGGAATGTATCACCTGCTCAATGTAGACTACCGATTGAATAGCCTCTCAGCAGACTCTGAAAACATGTAACACGCATCATATATCAATAAATATTAAACTGCTGCCTCCCCAAAAAAAAATGAAACACCTCACTTATGATGAAGACAATCATTGAAAGTCTTAACTCTTCAGTCTTAAGTACGTAAGCAAAATCCCAATACTGAGTTACAAGAATTGAACTACAAATTGCATTGCAACTTTACACATAAGATGGCTGAGTACCATCTTACTTATTTTCTGAGTACCAGCCTCCTTTTTTCAATTGTTCCCAATGAGGAGACAGCGTACGAATATGTGGCTGCCTAGAGAAAAAGCCCTGCACCCAGCCTTTAAGGACACAGGCCCTAAAGAGTGCCTGGTCGGAGAGCGTACCTTTTACTTGTCACAGGTCCAAGGTTCATCTTCATGCAGCTCACTTTGCGGATCTGAACACCCATAGCACATGTAGAGGTCCCATTCCAGGAGCTGGTTCCGTTGAGATCCATGGAGGCATCCTCAATACAGGGACCCCAGGCGGAGGCCTCCCAGTAGAATACCATGCAAGGGTGGTCATTACACACTCTCCACCCCTCCAGGGCTGGCGCTGCCGGACACTCCTTCCCTCCTAGCCACAAAGACACAGGAAATAACCACAGAATCAAAGACGTGAGGACTGCTGTGTAGGTCTTAAATTTGGCATTCTGAAAAGAAAAGCTGAGTATAGGCACAGTTCAGTGTTTGGCTGTGTTTATGAGCAAACTAAAACTAGTGCTAGTCAAAAAAAAAGCAACATTATTATGCAGCGTACATGTCATCTGCAGAGAATCGAAAATACATTTCACCTGAAGTAACAAGCTGAAGTTAGCTGCTGGAAGTCAAATGCTAATATAATCATTGACCGCTGGCTGCTTTGCGACAAAACAAATGTTTGTTCGGGTTAGCTGAGCAGACACATTACAAGTTACAACAAGTTTGAATTACAAATGAAAAGTCACAGTAAGGTCACTGTAACATATTTCACAGTCCAATTAACACACTGCCCTCAGACACATAACAACGATCTCTTACATACCCTGCTCCCTGTATCCTTGTGTCATATATCGAGTCATTATTTGGACACATACTGTCATATATGACAAGTGCAACAATGAAAGCAAGAAATCTGCAAAAATATTTCTGTATTCACCAAGATGGTGTGTATGGTAATGCAGTACAGTAGGCTACCACAGCAGAAATGACAACAATTGATTATTTTTTTTTTCTTCAGATTCTCCCTGTTCTCATTGTGCCCGCCCCCATAATTTTGGCTTGCATGACTTGCAGTTCAATGAGATCATGCTGAGGCAAATGTTCACATGTAGAGGGCATCCAAATATGTGATTAATGAGCAAATCATTAATATGGAATTTAATGACAGAATGTTACGTTTCATGGTCAAATAAAATAAAGCTCTTTTCTTAAGAACATTTTAAAAACTGGAAACCAGAACATCATGCAGGTAACTATTTTGATCATGTATCACATGTACAAACATGTGAATCAAATGCATGCTCAAATACGTACCACACATGCACATTACTGGGTGTGCTGAGATTTAACACTATGCTTGATGTGTACTGGGACTACATCAGTTAGAATCTGTCCAATCTACATGGATGCAAAACTGGGGACAGTTTCACTTGAAGTAGGCTCATAGGTGTCATCTGGAGAGAAGTAATTGTCCTAAAGCTAACTGTAACTCACAGAAGGGCTATGTTGAGTTTGTCAGTGAACCACTATCAAAGAAACTCCTGCATCTTCCAGTCTGTTTTGCATCATCCAGCACATCCATACTATCACACAACATGCAGGCATATGAACACAATTACAACACACACATACACACACCTCTGCGAGGCTAGCATAATAATAATTATCAATACAGTGTGCAACCTGTCTTAAGCTGTGAGATTCTTTCATCAGCTGTTATTCTAGATATGCGTTTGGTTACAGGGATTAATGGGCAGTAGCTGGCTGCCAAGACTCCGCTGTCTGACTTAAAAAAACAACACTTGGAGTAGGCAGAAAGATACTGGCCAGAGAAAGAGTCCTTGATAATGGATGGTCAACTCAAACCTCAAAAGTGTTTGGGATGAAAAATGTCTGTCTGATAACTACAAAAACAAGAACCAAAGTAATCTCACAGTGTTGGGGAAAGCACTCTGATAAAGGCTTTGTCTAAAGCAATTTTTTGTTTTTTTTTGTTTACAGAGTTGAACTTTAAATCAGTTTACTGGTTTTGATTCCCAGTTTCAGTATCAATATCATACATCCTGCAATGTTGTTACTGTACCACAGCAATTTTTGGAAATATTTTGGGAATTAAGAAGACTACTCCACCGATTTAGCGTTGCACTTTTGCTTAAAATCGGGTGTCCACGTTAAGCAACTTGAGCAAAGGCAGTTCAGTTGGAGATTCAAGTGTGTTATGCTAGAAGCAGCTAATGTGGCCTTAAATTACATCAAACCTGCTTTGTATGTATTCCAGATTCAGTTTTGTCAACCTGGTTTCCCAAACCCAGTAAAGACATCACAGCACTGTAATATTTATTATGTAGCTGAGAATGACAAAACTTGCACTACAGTGCAATTTACCTCTGTCCCCCCTAACCTCTTGTCTTCGTCCCTTGTATATAAATCTCTGTACTCACACTTATCATTTAGTGGGTATCTTGTATGTAATTAACAGAATCACACACTTAATGACAGCTATGATATAAAGTGTTTGCAGCAATGCCACTCACAAAAAGGCATATTTGGTAACGAAATATCTGAGGAAGATCAAACAACAATCCTGTTGTGACATTTTGTTTGACTGAAAACTGATATCTGGGAAGTTCTGCACAAAAACACAACGGCAATAAACACAGAAAATAACTAGTAATAATAAAGTAACAATAATAAATAGCAGGTTGGAAAAGATACAAAGAAGTCATAGGGGAAGTTGCGCTACCTTTCCCGGGCATGGCCAGCACAGTGCGAGTGCGGCTCTGTCGACCCTCTGCTGTCTTGGTGGCACAGCTGTGTGAGCAGGGTGACCAGGGAGACCAGGAGTCGACCACACAGTCTGCAGGACAGGCCACCTCGCAGGCCACCTCTGTGGGGGGAGGGGCGTGTACACAGTGGGCCACTGGCACATCGTTCCCTGAGGAAGGCAAGTTAAGATAAGTAAATTAAAACAGAGACATCAGCTTGATATAAATCACAATGAGACACATTACATTTCCTGTATCTAGACTTGACCAGAAAGCAATCAGGTAGGCTTTAAATCCCAATCCAGGTAAGGGATTCATAAAATCACAAGTGTATGTAAGTACAGAGAAAGTATAACATAAAAACAGGCATTACTGTGCATCTGGGCTGATGTGAATACTCCTAAAACAGAGTGATTGTGATCGAAATACACGGACCACCTCAAGAGGTGAGCGGGTTTTTATTCTGATCACACTGAAGGAAAGTGTAAATGCAGTTCACAGAGCACACTTTGACATGCTCTGCTTGTCTCGGGTTGTTTACCGTTTTCTGTCAGGCTGGAGAAGGATGTTGTGGTCCTGATGAGGTGTGCAGTTGTGACATGGAAATAGATCATGGGGGGGGGGGGGGGGGGGGGGGGGGGATGTCAGTGTTGACACTGATGTTGCATGTTAATGCCAGGTGTAGGTTTATTCTAGATACAATCAGGTGTATAGGAGATGTATGTCCCAATAAATAGTAACAAATTAAAGAACTTGTAATTACAATTTGTAATATCCTTAAGTTTATATTTTTTTATTTTGGCAAAGGTGGTGGGGAATTCTTCTCTAGCACCAATGCAGTGAATGCAGCACAGGGTGTAGTGTTTGTGAACGCAGCCCTAAGGCTGGCTCCTCCCCAATAATTCCCTAATCAGGGCCAAACTATAAAAGGCACCTGTTTACATTGTTAAACCAAATAGGTTTGTTTCTTTAGTTTTTTATTCTTTTTTTTGTATTTGTTCCTTTTTCTGTAGGTGAAGTGGAGTGCCATTGTTGGGAGGCTATAGGCATCGGTGGTGAGGTCCCTACATCTTATGCATGTAAAAGCACAGGGATACGAGTGTAGACTGCACCATTTCTGTTGTGAGGATTAACGTGTTGCACCAGAGGTGAGTAACCGGTAGCACCCCTGGGTGCTTCTCAGTGTCATCTGCCTCCCCACCGGCGGTCTCAACTTAGATTCCCTAGCTTTGCTCAGTTTTCATTGGGCAGGAAATTTCAGCAGATTAAAGATTGTTATGGTTTTAGAGTTTTTAGTCAGGCAGTTTTAGCTAAGATTGTGGAAACTAATTATTTTAATCCCTTATTGGTTTCAGTTATTTTCATTTGTCCATTAATATTCTTTCCTCCCCAGCAGCTCCTGTCCTTGCATATTTGGTTATTTTTTGATCCCTTAAATAAATCCATTGGTTCATTTTACAAAACAAGTCTCTGTCTTATGTCAGTAACAAATCTGTGTGCCTTCTCAATTTTCCAAACAATATGTAAGGTTCTTAAATCCGTATTTTCTGGGGCCTAATTCCAGGTTGCGTTGTCGGTTCCCTCTCATTCTCCCCTTAAGGCCCACGCCACACAGAGGTTGACAAATTCAAAATGTTTTTGATCCTTTAGGGGAAGGAAATTCACTTTCAATCAAATCAAATTTAACAGGTGCTCAGTATGAAATTTAGATTGTATCTATTGCCTCCACAAGGCTCTCAACATGGCTCAGCCGGTGGCTTGCTAACGGTGCTACAAGCACGAACGGAGCAAACAAGTAGCCAACATTCCACTAAATCTTAACATTGCAAATAGTTGTTTTCTGCTATAATGCTCTGAATTCTGTATATAGAACCTTTAAGATGGCATAAAGTGTTAGACAAAATCCCTCAACGACAAATATAATTAAATTTTATCTCAAGAAAATTATGAAAACATCCACTTGGTATTCTGAGCTAGTTTTAAAAGCTCTCCTTTAGCCTTCATCTTGCAGTTATGTTATGAAATATTTATCACAGCTCCCAGTTAACTCTTCTGTCAAGACTGAAACAGCTACAGGAAAGACAGAGCCTTCTCTCGTTGCTGTACTTTCATGATAATGACTCTTTTTGTGTGATTTAACAGAAATTACAGAAAACATTCTGGAATGAATGTTAATGACTGAATAATACCCTTGATGAAAAAAGTAACATATATATATATATATATATATATATATATATTCTTTGTATTTTTTGTTGGACCCAGCCCAGAGTTAGCAGAGTGACATCTCTTTGTTGAGAGAAAGACAGAGAGAGAGATCAATTTCAGAAACAAAGATGCCATCCTGATGTCAAAACAATGCCAACAGCAGCTGAGGCATTGTTTTGGGGATTATACGCTCACACACAGCAGTGGGCTATCATTAACTTGTGTGAACTCTGCCACTAAATCATGGGTTATGCTTTAACAATAACAACCCCAGGAAGGATTTGTCATCAATTCGATTTTTTTTCTTGATGCAGAGGTCAGCTGTGAGAGCAAATGTAGGTATCGCCTAATCAGATAGATGTGAAATACTCACTTGGGGAGTTTGAGAACATTTCACCCATAAAGTTAAAGCATTAGAGATCTCCAGCCATCAAAGTAACTGGTGTGTATACAGCAGGAGATGTTAGTCTGCTTTTGGATGCATGAGTCCTTTATTGGTGAAGATACAAGTGCACATAAGACTGAAGGTTCTGCAGTTGAAGTTAACAATGGAACAATTCTCAAGGATTTGGTGAAAGTGATACTTTTAACGCTCAGCAAGGAAGTACGTTGCTATTACATATAAGTAGTGTGAAAAAAAAAAAGAAAATGACTTCTGGGCGACCAGGAATAATGTTAATTGTCAAAGATGTCCTACACAAAGTGATCTAAGATCTTGAGGATGCTGCTCTTAAATAGGAATTGTACTGATTGTAGTTTACATAATTGTTTTTATTGTCAGTGAGATTTCAAGCTGTGGGAAATATATAGTCTTTGCTCAGCTCGGCTCCCCTGCAGGTAATTATTTCAGGCATCCGTGCTTTATATAAGTGGGCATGAAATGAAACATGGAAAGCGTCACATAATCTGTAAATCAACCTCTGACCTATATTTAGAGGGAGGGACACCGAGTACTGTGTCTTAACATTTATAGTACCAGTCTAACTGTTATGGAAATAAGATACCTATTTGAAGGGTGAAAATGGACAATGACACACACCAAGATAATGTTTAACAACTTTAACTGCTAAGTAGTAAGTTTTATCTAAAGTTAAGGAAATATGTAGTTCTTATTTCACTTTTACAGGAATGACTGGAGAATTTTGTCAAAAGTTTGCCAAGTACAGATAAATCAAACCTATTGTTTACAGGTAGATAAAACCCCAACATAGTCATAATTATAGCCCTACCTCTTACGCATGTTTGTAAAGGTACCATTACACATTCAAACTGTCAAATCAATGCCATTTAAAAAGACTATTGTGGCCCTAAGGTGCAATGCACATAACCATTGGGAAACACAATGGAAACACATTATCGAACAAAATCCTTGACCAAAGAACTAAGAATCTTAATATCATAAAAAAAACATAGAAGAAGTAAAAGGAGCAGCATAAGCAGAAAGTAAAATATGCTCTGAAAAACACATTGACTTTAAAAATGTGTCCATGTGTGTCTCTAAGGGTTAAAACACAATGACATTCCAGTACATTGAACAATGGCATCTCTAATGCAATGCAAATGTGTGCCTTGTACCTCATTGCTACCTTATCTGTATACTCAAATGCCATGCAAAACATAGCAGGTTTCCCCGTGCCCTCGGCATATTTTTTTTAGAATTGTTCGGATGTATTATTGCCAACCGTAGAAAATCAGTAATTATTAAACACTGTTCTGCTTGAAAATCACAAAGGACTAATGAATATGTTGGCAAACAAAATTAACAAAAGGCTTACAAAGCTTTGCCTGGAAACACTGCCTAAAGAAAAATGGTTTGATAACATGAATACAAATACACAACTTTAGTGTGCGTGTATATGTGTGAAACTACATGTGGATCTGCAAATAGATGGCTGCCCTGGGGGTCCTTTTGCATTATTAATACAGGGTTCTGTAGTTGGCACTCTTACTCAGATATAATACCATTGCCCCCTGCATGCAATTTCCACACGATTTCTATTCTGCTCGCCCACCCACCAATTAATGTTCTTCATCGTTATTATTCAGGTAGATGTAGACTAAAAAAGCGAGAAGTCCTCGCCTTTATTTAAGATTTAATAACCCCATCCACTCTGTGTGGGCAGCTTTTAAGACAAAGCTGGCGGGCAAACGCAACAAGGCAAGTTGGAAAATATCTCTGTGAACATCAAAGCGCGTTCTGACTAGCCTGAGTCACTAATTCATGTTTTCCCTGCATGTGGCTGTCAATCATTGGTGACGACTGTCTCAAAGCTAAGTTTAAGGCTGCTTTTCTGAGGGCATTATCGCTTGAATATTGTTGACCAGTCGAGGAGAGAACAGTTCAGGCGGATGCTAACCGTGCTGAGTTATTGTTGTTGGGTTCAGAAATGTCAGAGCCTCAGTAGGTTGAGGAATGCCTGCCAACATGCATGTATGTTAGCTGTCAGTCACAGGTGCACCAGGTATTTGAGTCAGCGTGCACCGGTGGTTGGTAGTTAGTTCAGGAAATGGGACTTACCGCTCTGGTGTGAATGCTTGCTGTGCAGAGAGTGGGAGCTGTGGGAGCTGTCAAAACAACTTTACTAAGCCTGGAGCAAAAAGCCAGTGGGTTAAGGCTAACACAGCACTTTTGTTTTTACTTTGCCGTAGTTTACAGGCCTATAAAGTGATAGTGGAATACAATAAGCGCCCATTAGCCTCCCTGTGTGAGATGCCATATTATTTTTAACTCAGTTTGGAACAATTGTAGCAGAACCTTCCAGCTCAAAAACTGCATGCAAGGCAACTCCTTATTCACGTAGCTATCATGAATATGAAGATGATAATTGTGTTTTTCAAAGTTGCAGATAATATGGTTTGAAGTTTGAAAGCCTTAGTCTCTGGATGGATGCCACATGATGAGACTGGAGGGGCAATAAGATTGCATTATGTCACTCATAATCAAGTCATGTTACCAGATAAATAAAATGATGTGATGTGAGGAAACTGATGGTATCCCGAAGGGTTGCAGGGGTCGGCAACTTTTCCAATATGAAGTGCCATTTTTTCATTTTATTGTTAATCAACATTAAGGTTAAGTTTAATTATGACACCACATACAAATGTTAATCTCCAACAGATCTGTAATTTCATTCTATCCATATAGGCAGCGAGCAGCGCAAACATTTTTAGAAAGAATCCGGACAAGAAGGCTGCCATCTTTATAAAAACATCCACATCTGAGTTCACATCTTTAACCTTACCAACCTTCCACCAATCTTTTCTGCAATCTAGGTAAGAGAGCCAATCAGAGGCTGAGTAGGGTGGGTCTTTGTGGAATGCAGGTGGATGAAAAATGAATGAATCAAACTACTGTAAATAACTGGTTGCACAACTGCCAACAGCTGGGCAAGAGGTTGGCATGTGGGTGAGAGGTTTCTTCAGTTTCCAAAAAACTCTCTTGCACATTTATTGCTAGTTACGGTTATGCAATGTGGAGCAGATTAAGGCGCTAAATCAGGATGTTGTAAAAAGAATATGTTTAAATGAAATTATAATGAAAATGAACAAGCAACAATGGATAGATAAATTCAGAGATTCAACAGGCTTGATTATAAGAACATGCAATTCCCCATGGTACTTTTGAACATACAGAACAGTCAGCCAGTGTCATTAATGCTGAATCTGTAATTCAATTGGTGTGGTGATTGCACTATGCTTAACTGCTAAAAAAAACACCAGACTTGAGAGCCAATCAACACTCTCACACATCATGCATTATCAGTTAAAATTCCTATAGAGTACATCAATACCAGAAATGTTTTCACACTGTTACATTCATTATATTGGGGCTTTGGCAATGCATTTAATTTTAAAAGCTGGCAACTAAACAGGATGCCTTCTTTAAGTTCCGTAAGAAAAGTAACAACTTTTACTTTCAAAGGGGTAGATGCCTCTGGATTCACCCTCCTGGCAGAGCTCCACAAATGTCCTTAAACACCCCTGGGCCAGTCTATTCCATTTCATCTATACCTGAGTGGTTTTAAGAATTACCTCATGTGTTTGCTGAGCAATAAAAGCTTGGCTGTAGGTGACAGACGATGTTTTCTGATTGCTTGAGCAGCCACAGATAATAATTTAAAACTCCATTAGATAAACTTCCCGGGGAAAGTGCTATCTCTTACTCTCTACAGGCATAAACTTTCCTCAGACAACACGAATTTTCAGGTTTGAAATGCAGAGTGGTTTTATGCTGAGAAATAGGAACCTGAATGCTTAGTCAATCAAGGAGTAGAGTGGGGAAAACACTCCATACCTCAATTTACTTATTTGACGTTCACAATCTTAAATGGTACCCGCCAGTTCAAAACATGTACTTTCCTCAATCATCATCAGTCATCAACAACAACTATCTTCATGGCTTTTCACTGTAATATCTTCAAACGCTGCCGTACACTGGAAGCATTTGTAAACCCGTGCTCCGATAAACTGACAATAAACTGAACCATTAAAAGAATGTCAGCAATACTTATGTTCAGAACATAGAAGGATGGTCCTAATGCATCAACTTCTAAAGGGATTGTCAGCCATGACATGCACGGCCATAGCTGACCTTTCCACACGCATCAACCTTCGGCAATCAATGACAGTATTTGTATGTACTGTAAAGGATAATCGACAACGAGGTGACCTTTTATGGATTTTAACACAGAAAACAAATTCTTTAACTGACAACATTGTCAGAATTCACCATTTAGAACTAGCACATTGTGAAATTGTCTAGTGTGGAGACTTAACCCGACATACAGAAGCTGATAAAAATCCAATGTCTTTCCTCAAACAACGAGGCCATAAGACAGTGTTGGCTAAGATGACATGAATTTTGTTTTCTCCAGAAATCGTTCACTTCTTATTCATAAACAGCTCTGAACTCCAGCTCAAACATCTGTGACCAACCCAGCTCAAATCAAATCAGCTTTTTAGACAAAGAAAGGTAGGCCATCTAATTTATTTGTATGATTAGAAGCCAAGCTGTTACTAATGAAAGATATGGGCATTCACAAATATCAGAGATGCTTATTGTTTATGACAGCATCTCAGATTTTTGTTAACAATCCTTTCACCGTTGCAGGTGTGTTACTCCTACCTCTCCTTTCTCTCACTCCTCTCAGCCTGTCAGTTGCAGCAGCAAAAATGATTGAAACCAAGCCAACAGTGGCTATTTACAAAGGCTCTGTACTCTCTACAGTCAGTCTGAACAGTCCTGCCACAGCGGCTCCAGATTCCCATCGCTAGCTCCACAGAACTGTGAAATATTATTATATATATATATATATATATATCTTTATCTGAATGTGCAGGCAGACTTGCAATTAGCGACTGCTTTCTGCAAGGTCCATGGAATTTATATGTCAAGCATGAAAGACTTAAAAGTACTTAAAAGTGTATTGTATCGGGAGAAAAAACTTGACCGTGATCATCATCTTCATAGCAGCTTATTCTGTCCATCTAATCATCTGTTATTTTTTTTTTCCATCTGCCCACCATCTAATTCATTAAAGATAAAAACAGCAATGCTGGGTTCTAGAACCATACTTGATGTGGGTTGTATAGGTGTAATGAGCAGATAGTGTCAAAAACAATGCGTTTGTACCATTTCTCAGCCGTGCGTATTTCATCAGCACTATTCACAACTGAAATATAAAATCAAAAAACAACATGTCTCCGGCATCATGTATTTTTCAAAATGACAGGAAATAAACATTTGTACACTTTAAAACTATTTTGCATTTGCTTTTTTCAGTAAACCGCATGGATGTAAACAGACGATAGCTAATGACAGTTTGACAGTATTTTTTAAATTTGGTTCAGCTCCACTCCAGTCAAAATATACCATTTATTAACTGCATGTATCTAAAATAGAAATAATTATTCAATCATGTCTATAAGTGTTTTTTATATTTTTATACAGCACTAGCTGTGACATTGTGAATCATACTGTCTTGCTCACTGATGCTTGTAGTCCTTACCTATATCACTGCAATACACTGCAAAAAAAAAACCCAAATCAGCTTTACAGGATTTTGCATCACTTAACAACTTGGCCCTGACACTGCTGTGACTGTGTGTGAAAATAACTCACCGTGCTTGAATGGTAAATCCAATCAGCCAATTAAGGAAGCAACAGTGAACAACTTGTCAACATTCTCGAACAATAAATCCACAGCAGATGATTTCATAAGCCTTTTTCCTCAAACCCGCCAAAGCTTGCATTCTTAGTTGTCCTGTCAAAACTCATTAGACTCTTCTGTTGGCTAATACATTTGGGCCCTCCACTGCCTTCCTGATAAACATACGCATGATCCATTGTGACACAATAATAAAGCACAAGCAAAAAGAGGCAGCAATTAGGTTTATAATCTATGAAGATGAGCAATTAATGCCTGCAGGAAGCTGTGATTCTGACTTTTTAATCAGGCCAATGTTTTCTGTGCCCATAAACTTGGTGATGGACCCTCATGAATAATCCATGCTTCGTTAACGTTGATGTTCCTATCGGCCAACATGAGGATATGGCTGAGCACAATGGATCACATTACACCCGATAGTTCATGCGTCACATTGCTACTGATAGCATTATGTGTCCGGACCATAGCACTGATGGCTTTACTGTGGCCTTGATGAATTTCACTGCTACTTGTAGAACTAGTCTAATTAATGTTGCAGTCTATGGTTTGCCCCTTTTTAACGTTATAAAAAAAAACAATGCTCAGCAACGGTTATTAATCGTAGCTGTCATTTAAATCAGAGCTGAGAGTTATAAAGGTCAATGTAATCTGTCTGTAGCACCCTAATTTGACTACTGAACACATGGACCATTGTTGTACAATACATTTGGATGGTCAAGTTAAAACATTCTTAAAGGAAGACATTGTTACAGGAATAGTTTAACATGTTGGGGAAGATTTTTTTTCTCTTTCTTTGCCAAGACTTGAATAAAAATATCAATACAACTTTAATTTCCCCTTTTATTTTCACACCCAGAACGTGGTTAGCTTAGCTTAGCATAAACTGTAAACAGAGGGAAAGAGCTGGCCTGGCTCTGTCCAAACTAATAAAAGGTAATTACCAGCTCCTATAAAGGATTGTATCAATCTGCTCATCTAACGACAAGAAAACAAGTATGCAGATTTCCCTAAATGGCAAAAATATGTATTTATTAGCTAGAAGGCCAAATTGAACTACCAACAAAAACTGTAGTGTGAGATGAATGTTTTAATTTTGAAGATAATCTGTTTCCCTTACAATGCCAATTCAGGACTGTACCTTCAGCATTGACACAGGTCACATTCTGGGCCGCCGTTCCGGGACCACAGGAGTGTTTAGTGGGAATGCATCTTTCTTCTTGTTGGACCTGCCACAGGTAGCAGGCAGGATCCTCACACTGAATGAACTCCACCAGATGAGGGCAGGTCTCCGGAGGACTGCTGGACTCCCACAACACCTCTCTCCTCCTCTGTCTGAAACCTGACGAAAGGACAAGGTTGTCAGAGAAGACATTGATATTCCTGTACAAAACTACACAGAACCTCTCTTAGTCAACCAATAAAGTACAGTATTAAGATGTGGGCTTGACTGGACATTATCTCTGTGATCAATTATTTAGGTATTTCATCAACTATGCTATAGTCAGCAGCAGCGACTGCTGATAAAAGCAACCACGTGTCTCCAATAATCAAGGAAGTTACTAATAAAAAAGGACATCATGTCTTTTTCACCCCCAAAAATGTGTTACAATTCTAGGTATAATATTGATAAAAATGATGCTTGATATAGCTATGGTTTTGATATTTGTCATCTGTTAAATGACTCACCTTTTAAAGGAATGCATAAGATATCTTGTAATAAAGAGAAAAGTGGTACATCTATTAGACTCAATGTCAGCACAGGGAGCTGTCCACAGTCTATTAAGTACTCCCTTTCCCCTTCCTCTGCCAGCCTGGTGATTTGAAGTGATGACTATTCCCTGACTCATTATCTACCAGGCTCCTTCCATTGTCATTCTCCCCACAAACTTCATTAAACTAGTCAATGATACGATCGGCGGTTTAAAAATACAACTCTCATTATTTAACGTGTCATATTTAGCATCTTTAGTATTGCGAGACTCGTCATTAGATTGTTTAGTTGTTAGGATCCATGGTTTTGCACTGATTTCATTGTCATTAGCCACATTCTATTAATACTTATTATTCACAATTAGAAAATACATATTTTTTCAAAACAAATTTTCCCATTGTCATTTACACGTCTTCAGGCATTCAAAAGGAGCGCTTCCTGCTGCAAGGAGACGCTGTTCACTGTAGTGTAGAGTAAAAGATCCTCGTGCAATGAGCACACATATAAAGCAAAGCTAGAAATTTAAGACACGCAGAATCCATTTTAGTTAGCAAACTAATTAACTAAAAACAAAAAAAGAACGGTTAGTTGAAAAAAAAAGATTTCTTTATCCCATTTTTAACATTCAAAACAAACATAAAATAACCCTTAAACACAGCTTCATTCTTTCTTTTCTATAAAGAAAATATTAATATAATGGGCCCAGATATCATGTGGTGGAGATGACAAACATGTGGGGGGAAAAAACTCCCTACTCCTTTATGTCCAGAGTAGCAGCCCCTATGCTGGACACACTACAGAGCCCACGTGCTAACGTACAGGCTACGTGAAACATCCCTTTCAAGTATAGGCTACTGGTCATGCAGGAGCCGCCGGCAGAAAATATGAAAGAGTGGTTTTCCAAGAAAAATGGACCCGTTTTTCTTCACAGAGGTAAATGGGGAGCCAGGGTGCTTGCTGTAGTCACAACACCTTTCAGTGCTCAAGGAATATAATATTTGGTGCCACTATCAGACTCATATCGGCAAAATATATAAGAACTTGCAAAGACAACTGAAAACAGAGAAGCTAATGTAATTGTTGACAGGTTTAATGAAGCTGTTTTTAGTCTTAGGACACCTCAGGCTGTTCATCATCTGTTTCACAAATGAGCCGCATTTGTATACATGTGTATTCCCTCTGCATACATTGTTCCTAAAATACTTATTGATACACATTTTTTTATAGAAAAATGATAATGAGGTCTATAAGGGGATATAACATGAAGTTAATATTAAATGCCTCTACACATGTGATTGGCAAATTTTCCAATAACATGATAATCATTTTGGCACGAGCATTATCATTAAGCCAATTACCCAATTTATTACAAAATTGCACCATAATGTGGATTCACTCTAAAACATTGATTCTCTCAGAGCTGGGTTTTTCATAAAGCATTGATTTCTTCATGAAAAGGTTCTTACTGAGATGACACCTCACACTCTAATCTACAGTCATTATCAAATACTGAACTCTACAAATGCTCTTGTGGAAGAAAAATGGTTTGAAATACGTTTTCCAGGCTCCAGCACCTCCTCCAGTAACTCCAGTAAAGTAAACTTGAGCAGCAGCAGCTTTTCTTTTTTTAACCATTCTCATTGTACCGTAGCTTGGCAGAAAGGTTTCACAGCCTTTCCCTCTACAGGTGGAACTGCATTACTCCGGGATGCACACTGTATAAATTACCTCCCCAAACCATCTACTGGTGTGAGGCGCCAGTTCAGGAGCCTGATCCGAACAGTGTTCCCAGAGTGGGCTCTCGAAGAGCAAAGAGACTGTAGATCGATTGCAGTATTGCCCAGAGCACTTACTGCTGCTCACTTCCAAACCACAAAAACAATTTGGCATGGGCATGCCCCCGTGGATATTAATAATTGAAAGGTTTCTTGGTCATACCAGGTTTATTTCAGGGAAACAAGGGCCACCCAGTGATTCTCAGCACACTGTTGCTCAGGAAAATAAAAGCTCCCTCCAGCTGCATGACTTCTAGTAGAGGCATTACTAAAATTATATTCACTAACCTCCCGTGATCAATTCATTTCCCCACATAGCTGCAGAATGTGATAGGCTGAGATAACATGAAAAAAAAGGGAAAAGCACATAATGTGACTGCGAGGCAATTTAAATTTGTAATTTTCTGGAGAGTAAAGCCTGGGCTGCAGGAGCATCTTTGCTGGTTGGCTCTTCTACCTGAACACCGGGATCCCGCGGGCCCATTGGTTAGAGACGGACTGTAGTTTATTCTGCTGTTGTGGAACATAAAGGCTAAGTGTAAATTCAATAGGAGCAAGAAATTCTCTGCAGCTCAAGGACCACGGGCAACAAGGATCACAACAACACCCTGCCACTCAATAACAGCTCATTGTTTCGCAGGAAACAGGGCTTGCTGCGAGCCCTATTCTATTGGTTTCATATTCTATCTGCTGGGGGCTGGGGATCTTTATGAAAGCCATCAAAAGACGCCGTGCCACCAGAGAGCCCTGTGCGGAACAGCAGATGCTGTGTTTTCCGCTCCTTGAAATATATTAATGACACTGTCTGTGAGACGAGTTGGCTCATCTCATAGGGACCCAGTGTTGGAGAGTGTGGGCACTGACCTGAACAATCCGCACTTCAGTGGCTCCCCGGGGGGCTTTCATGCACATTTACTCATGACAGGGACGAGGTCACGCTGCCCTTTTAGCACAGCACTAACACACTAACAGCTCCTCCACTGACTGAAACACACACACAGACACACACACACACACACACAACGTGTAGCCTCGCTAAAGCAGTCGGATATGACACACGCTCACCTGTGGAAAAAGACAAGAACATTCAGACAGCACGAGTGTGCGGAATGCTTGAGCACACCCCCTTGTACACACACACACACACACACACACACACACACACACACACACACAGGATGCATCTTATCTGCTGTAACTCCTTTTACCCGCCCAGGGACTGAGAGCTGAACTACAGGTGTGCTCTCTTTCTGTCTTTCGTCTGATGCGGTTCCTCTCAGCCAGCCGCTTATCAACAAACAATTTACAACCCAAACATATACTGCCTCCGTCTCCTGCTCTGACAACATTGATCTCTTGCACTGTCATCCGCTCTCTTAGCCCCCATGAGCCACAATCTCTCTCTCTCTCTCTCTCTCTCCATCTCTCTCTCTCAGTTTCCTCACTCTCAATGTTGCCAAAGCACCACACGGTCTATTGTTTGGACATTAAAACATGCTAATTATATTAAACAAGGTTAGTGGAAAGCCCCTTGTTGACCATATTGAAGGTACTCAGCTCTTAGGCAACAATTGCTATTAACGGCGGATTGTAAATGTACTGCATGGCTAAAGTGTCTGCAGTAGAGCTAAACAGTTAATTGTTTTTGACTGAGTGCTTATGATTTCACCACTGGCCCATCTGTGCAATTATCAGTTACAATTTGAAATCATATCAGCTTGTTAGCAAGCGATGCATAATATCTTTTGGATGGCCTGTGTCCATCCCTCTGTCCGTCCATCTGTCAAACATGATTCTGAGAGAACAGTATTCTGCTGTTGAAGACAGTTGGAGGCATGATGCATCTTGGAACATATTTTTGGCATATAAAATGAAGCCCCAATCTCCTCTTTTTTTTTTTTGTAAGATTGTTACGTCTAGTTACAACAGTAATCATGTGTTAACATGACTAGTAGCAGTGGTCTCGCTGTGGTGGCACCTGTTGCTTGAAGGCGACATGTGCAAAGCTTACATTGTCATCAATACTGAGGAAATGAATCTTAGTAAACAAGTTCTATACATGATGGCAGGCTGTCAGCAACAGCATGAGACTGTTGGCAAATTTACATGTGGCTCTGCAAAAGCTAAAGCATGTTCACTCTCATATCCAATTTACTCCATCATACCTTTCTTCCCCTGTGGTTCTTTGCAGTTGTCATATAGGCAGGCACCCCAGGGTGACCACTGGGAGAGCAGGCAGTGGTGCTGGCAAGGGATGGAGCATTGCTGGACCGCCAAGGGGGGCTCTTCACCAGCGCACAGCCTGGCATTCACAGGCCTGGACACTGAACAAACAAAGGAACAAGGATATAGCAGACTTAACACAGGCAGCGGTGGAGTGCATGTGTGTGTGTGTGTGTGTGTGTGTGTGTGTGTGTGTGTGTGTTTGTATGTGTGTCTGTGTGTGTGCTAACTGTCAAGTAATATGTGTGGAATTGGAAAGCAAACAGAATCATGTGCTTGAAGTTTTGAAGTGATTGAAGAAGATGAAGAAGCATCACAGTGATCGGATTGAAACGCATGGATGTAGATTAGTTCTGACTGCAGACAGGAAGGCATTTAATGGTAAAAGGCTACAGTTTATAATGTTGTACACTGTGGTGAGAAGCAGGGTAGATTTATATATAAAAAAGAAAGCAAAAGAAAGAACAGAAGGAAAATTGCTCTTCTCATCTCACGTGTAGCTCAGGAGAATATTAAATAGAGGGCAACGACCAGCTTAGGGAGTAAACAGGACCTGAGCAGGGAGATGTTAAGGCAAGCCCCTGTAACCAATGTATAACCAATGCATGGCTGGTATCATTTGGACATCAACAACCTGTAATGGGCTCTGATATTAGTCTCTCACAAAACGAGAGTTTTTTTTTGTTTTTTGCTTTTCTACAACACAGGGATTCACTCAATCTAATACTCCATTTTGATGCACCTCCGCACATCATTGAGTGGCACATTTCCATTTAAATGAGAGCCCAAAGAGAAATTCACTAAATGTCCATCATGCATTTTGTGTTCTTACCAAAAGTAATTTACATGGTGTTTGATCTCCTTTTGTAAAAAAATGAAATGCTTGCTTAACCACATTCATAAAGTGCGTAGTAGACATCTGTCTGCTTTGTGATTGTAAATTGTGATTTCTTGTGTTAGTCAATTGCATTACTGGAGCAAATTGTTTCCCACATTACCAGAGCAAGTAGCCCTCCATGTTGCATTGGTACAGCCACATCTGTTTGCATTAACTAACGCTGTGCGGGTCATGTTCAGCTGCGGCCATGCACACAGGGCTGCGGCTCAGTGGGCGGATCGGCTGTCCTTGATTTAAGAGGTGGGAGTTCAATCCCCATTTCCTACTGTCTGCATCTCAAAGTCTCCCTGAGCAATAATCTGTGGATATATTGATCCTTGTCCCGCAAAACCATAGGTTCATAAGATTGATTTTCTATTTCCAATATATTTGCTGTCCAAACACACCTCTGATAACATTTCTCTGAACACATCTGGTGAGCAACTGCCAAAACACCTCAGCTACGGACTCATGGACTCGGTATTAAGGAAATATGAATGAGGTAAAACTTATTATTTAAAAATAAAATAATTATGTTAATAGGTAGGAAACAGAGTGATTTGCAAAAGAGGAACTTAAAGTTGAAAATGATTAAAAACTACCCACTGTGCTCAATTAAAAAAGATAAATGAAATACTTGCTATGCATGTTTTTTGTTGTTTCTTCTAATGATTGTAAAATTGGAATCAAACAAATCATTGTATAATCTTTGAGCACAGCCATTTGAAGTTCCTAAACACTCAGTAGCACTGCTTGCCTTGGTGATTCTGGCTTTTTTCCATTTCTATTCATATTCATTTATTAACTAAGAGTAATTAACTTTGGCTTCAGGAAAAACCTGGATTAACCTTTTAGGTTTTATCTACAGCACCAAAAAAATAAACTATTATACAACTAAATATACAACTATAGTTCAACTGGTTCAGGGGAGGCCCCGGGTATATCACAATAGATTTAAATAAAACAATGATGATCATCAATTCATTATTTACATCCAAAGACAGTACTATGGCACTCAAAAATATATATTAAATTCACTGTGATCAGTTACAATCCTGCATGTTTCTGTAAATTGCAGGTCAAATTTGACTGAACTATCTATTCCCTCATGTCATCATAGGAATCACTGAAAAGGAAGAATAAGCTGCAGGCTGGCTACACGTACCATCTCCACACTGAGCTTATACTGTCAGCACTGCCCTAAGACAAAAACCACAAGATAAAATGTGGCTCCCTCTAATTACAGCCTTCTTTTCTAGCTGGAATTCTTTACATTGGCTATCTTCGTTGTCTTAGCCCACCTGTCTAAGTTTAATTACAGCTTGTTAAATCAGCATGATATAACACATTGCATAATAGCATATTACATAATTCATAGCGGGAGGAATGATGGAGTTCCGCTCGAAGTTCAAAGTAAATCAATTCACACCCTTTAATACCATTACTGATGATAGCGCTATATTTGATCCGATATGAAAACACATTGCCCTGCGAGTCTGTATCAGCCATGTTTCTCAACCTCGTGAAAATGAAAATCCACATTTTCTCTTACGATCCAGGCCAGACACAATTACACAGATACTGTACGTGTACAATATAATGCAATCCTCTGTGTTCAAGTCAGTGTCCACCCACACATTAAAGTGATATAGTCAGTTACATTTGCCGCACTAACAGTAATGGGAAAAAGAGATAGGATTGAAAATACTCAAGTAAATATAATTTTTTAACTTTCACTCTGAACAATTTCACTGTTAAATAACAGTAAAATACTGGCAGCAGAGACGCACGAATTTTAAGTTATTTTAATACTATATTATTGTAAATTGGATTACATACTGTATATGTGTTGTAGAATAACTGGGTTTTACGGTAATTATACAGTATATGCAATCATGTTTGTGTTTATTTGCATTTAATTCCAGACAATAAAATAAACAACAAGTGAATTCATATACAATGCAACATTGCTGTAGTTTATTACATGTCCACAATCAATTATACAGCTGACTTTTTAGGACAAATAATATTAGGAACATTTGTATTCCAGAACAGGTACTGTGTGTTTAAAAGAAGACATTTACACATGTAAATGTGAACTGCATAGCTACATGACAGTGTAAAGGAGAAGGAGAAGAGAAGGAGAAAGAGAGAGTGAACAGTGAGAGAGGATTTGACCGCCGTACATTTTCATTTTCTTAGAGACACACTTTGGTAATTCCAGGTCCCCAAAATTGTCCTGTTCCTTCTGGTTTGCGGTTCTACAGTCGGCTCTATAATAGCACAAATAAAAACAAATTAGGTAACCGACGTTACATTTTTTACGCCGTAATTGGCGATCAACTTTACAAAGGTTAACTTTGCTGGCTATGCTGTTCGCTAACTAACGTCACTACAGCTACATGAGCTCCACCTAGCTAATGTTACAGAGCTTGCTTTGCCAATTTTAGCAACCTGATGTAATGAAACATACAAAATGAAACATTATCCGAGATGTTAATTCAATATTCATGAAGACAAAACAGTACTGGACACTGTCGATTTCAGGTGATAAGCGTAACTTTACCTCGGCTCCTCGGTTGATCTCCACATGGCTGTACTCAGAAAGACGAAGCTGTGCCGTCCAAGGTCACGTTCATGAACAGCCGATCACGTCTTGTCACTTACAAATTATTAGTGGACTAAGAGGAGTTTGATCAATAAAAATGTGCAATAATCATAAGCAGAAATATTAGCCTCCAAGCAACAGTACGATGTAGATGGATAGTGATTTACTGAACTCGTATAGAGAAACGTATTGCCACCAGAAAACACTGTACTATGCTGATAAATTACAGTTATCTGCTGCTGTGGTTAACCGACGACATTAACTGTTCACTTACATGCAAAGGATGAACCTGTGCATTACAATTATTATGAAATACTGTCAGATACTTCTGTAAATCTAATGTAAATTTACAATTCCTTACAGTTTTGGCTTCAATAATGCCTGTTTTTTTACATACATTTTGAGATTATTCAGTGTTTGAGTGAAATATCCAAGATGTCTCAATTATAAATGCTATAAAATCTTGTGGCGAGCTACTTTCTGGTGATGACAACAGCCCACCAGACAGCTGTTGGTCCCCTTCCTGATGAACATGTGCATATGTGCAGATTCTTTGTCTGGTCTTGGAGCACATAAACTGCGGGGGCGATAGGTAGACAATAATTATCTCCTTGCCTAGAAGTAGTGTTGTTTTTCACAAGTATCTTCTGCCGTGCACTCAAAGAAGGGTAATTTCCCAAAGTTGACAAATAGAGATTTGCTTGTTATCTAAAATAGATATTGAGGTTCTAGTATAATAAATATGTTGTACTAAAGGTAAATGTCTCCCTTCTCAAACACATATAATCATCCTCCAACAACTTTTGGTTTGATTGTAATTGTAAGGATACATATTTAATAATAATTATCACTAACAATGGTCTGTTTCTAGCACTTTTCAACCTGAGCAGGACAAAGCCATTCACACTGCATCGTATTCGCCCACGCACACATCGATGCTGGCGATGCTGCTCCGCTCATTGGGGGTAATCTGGTCTTGCTCAATTATTGATTTATTATTTTTCTGGTGTGAACATTACTGCATCACAAGGTCGCCCGCATGGCTATAGATTTCTTGGGTACAGTCACTTCCTTGTGTCTCTGCTGGTTCCCCTCCCGGTGATGTCAAGACACCAGGAAATAGAGGAAATAATCTCCCACACAACCCCCCCGCCATACATGTGTCGATTTTACATTCCGGTTAAGTACGGATTTAACAGAAGAAGTGTAATGTGTTAATTAGTGAGCTTTAGAGGTGCAAGTAGGCAGATTTTGTTATCTTCTACAGGCAAGCAGCTTCCCCCGAAGCTAAATTAACCTGGTGCTGGCTGGAGCGTCATTATTATCGTACAGTCATGAAAGTGTTTTTCTTTTTATCTAACTCATCCCAAGTGATCAGCTTCAGTAAGTGAACAAACCTTAATTAGAACTGTTATCAATCTGTATTAATGCTGCTATGTGGTTTTCTGACTCTAACATTAAATAAGTGTAAAAATGTAACACGAATCTGAGGTCAAAATGATTACTGGTGCCGCACGAAAGAGGTCAGTCGAGAAAAAAACATTTGACCCTTAGATGTAATATGAGCTATTTCCCATGCAGTGTAGTGGGTCCCTGTTGTTTAAAGCATTCACTGCAATACAGAGTAGCTCAAGAAAACACCGTCTGATTAGAATTATGATTCTTCTTGTCGACTGAACTTTGAACATGATTCCGCTACAGCAACACAGTTGGCTTATGATTTCATTTTGGCCTGCATAACCAATATAATGCTCTGCTGCCAACTTTCACTTTTAATAATTTATGCTCACAGTTTATATCAAAACACACCACTGAGTTTACTTGGAATTTATTCGTGGTGTATCTCTTGAGTCACCATGTGCTTCCAGCGAGCCCTGGGTCAACTGTCATGAAGGCGTTTTTTTCTTACCCTCCTTCCTGTGATGTGGTGCTGAGTGATCAGGGACTTGAACACAGTAGGTCTTCCTGTTCTGGATCCCCCTTCCACACAGCATACTGATGTTAGCCAGCCGCCGGTCCTGCTGGCTCAGTAGGGGGAGGATGCGACATTCGCCCCAGTCAGTGCTCCTCCACACATACCTGGCAGAGCGCAAACAAGCAAACATCATTTAAATGGAGTCTCTGTTTCATATGTCTTAGGAAGTATACAGAAGTATCATGCTGAAAGATGAATGCATATGAAAAAGGATAAAGTGTCAGCACAGCAGTGGCGGTTGTTTCAGAAAAGTCCCACAAAGCAAATTAGCGAGAGCAGTCTGAGCCTCTCTCATATGTCAGGAGGAGAGAAGCATGATTTTCTTTTTTTTTTACTTTAAAACTTCTAAACCAATGTTTGGTTTCAACTATGAAAAATGCACTGGTGCATAAAGCAATAATATCAGAGGAGTTTACCAGAACAACAGCCTGCAGTAATCTATCAAATGCTTAATTTCCGTAATGAGTTTTCCCTAATCATGTAAATCCTCTGCTCTCAGGCACTCCATGTAGATTTAGCAAATAAAACAAAATCTACCAGCAGGGGAAATAATTCTCTATTGACTACTTTGTTTACTGCATGTAATATTTGCCAAAGCCTTTAACTCAAATTCTCCTAAAACACTGTTTGTCATCCATGTCATGTCCTTTGGGTCAGGAACTCCCAACAGTACATTATGTTGTTGTAGGTTGCACGAGGTAATTGAGTTAATGCCCCCAAAAATGTAATTCAATAGTGAAATCATGAATTTTTGCAGCCTCTCGACTTTTAATCATAATCAATCAGGTGGAAAAGCCTAGAAAAGCAAAATCAAAAATCATTTGAGTTGAGACTAAAAATCCGCATCAAGAGATTACCCGTAACAGAGCTTTTGTTTACAAGGGTTGCGAGCTCAAAATGAGACGATATACCATCATCGTTAAGAAACTACCTGGGGCAGTTCAGAAGTAAATCTCCTATGATGTTGCAAGCTTCTTTTTCCTCAAGGGCAGGACATCTTTGACCCCCTCCAACTGTGATCTGCGTCATGATCCGTGACCTGAGGCGGTAACCAGGGGACAGATCGGTGGATCGGCAGGTCTTAGAGCAGGGACTCCACGATGACCAATCAGATGTCTGACAGTCTTTGGGCATCACACACGCCTGAAAGGTCAGGGCGGAGTCGTCCTTGGTACATAGACTGTAGATATCGGAGGAAAGAAAAGATGTTAAAGAAGAAAATACTACAAAAATAGAGAAACATATTACACACATTTCATATCTTTGTAACCCATACACTGTTTGAAAATAGAGTTGCCATATGGAGAGTGGGAGAGCCCGAAGCATGACAGATGTTACCTGTGGCTGGTATTTAAATAGATTGGCAGACAGATTATATCAGTTGTAAAACACAGCATCTGCTTGGAGAACATACTAGTAGATATCTTGATTTCCTGATAAACAACTTTCCACTTCTACATGACAATAAGTAAAGCTATTATACATCATGTTAACACAGATCTCAGACATACAGTCACCCTTTACAGAAGCAGTACAAAGAGCTGATATGTTCAATTAAAAATATGAAACAAGTGCATTAGTCATGCAATTACATTTCCATTGTTTAATTTGGACGATTTGATTAGGTAGGTTATTAAGATGTGAGTACAATGCTCATTTAGGAATTTTACTTTGTAATTAGGCTGTAATTAGAAAAGCAGAATGAGGCAGAAGTCAGGTGGGAAATCCATATTCAAAATCCCCAATCCCACTTCTGAGCAAATACTATGCTAATCAGACACTCTACTGTTAATGGTCCCTTCACACTTAAGTCATGAAGCCATTGAACCGGCCTTGTTGGGCATAGTAATGTGCAAAAATCAAACAGATAGCAACATACCCAATTTTAAGCCCCTCATCCAAACGGCATGGGTGAAATATGAAGACATCACATCAAACCTGGCATGATACTAAAGCCGCTGCTTATAGAAGCAACGGCAAACAATGAAAATACATTATTCCAACAGGATATTGTTGATGAGTGATTTCTGACACAATAGCTTCCATGAATGGCAGTCAACAATGATCAGCTAATAGTGTCATTTTACACCAAGTAGGTGGTATGGTATTTAAGTCAATATCATTTAAATGCAAAGATTTTCTGTCCCCTTGAAGAGTGAGCACAATATGGAAAGTTGTTTATTTCTGCATGTGTAGGTATGAATGTGTGTGTGTGTGCTTGCTTTCTGTGCAGTAAAATCCATTCTTATCAAATCCAAATACCAGGCTTTGCTCAAACAGCAGAGACAGGTGGGGAGCAGCACTTGACATTTACCATAATAGTGCCTCACCCCCATGCTAATATAATGCTGAAACAACAGCTCTCACATAATCTGCCTATAATTGAATAAATAACCACCATCAATAAAAAAACATTTTGTTCACCTCC